TTCCCTCCAAAATATTCGGTGCTTAGGGAACCTCCAAACAAAGGAACTCGGGTGATATTGATTTTCTCTTACTAGGCACGCCAAAAACGTAGGTTTCATGAGGTTTTCTTTGTCGTTTGTGTGTTCCCCCTTTTACAATTCCAGTGAACATACATACACACACAGACACAAACACCATGTCGTCCTGGCGCCTTTCTCTCCCTCCCATAAACTTGTTATATACATACAATATATTTTTATCCTTCTCATCTCCCATAAAATGGCCCTATTTTAGGATTTAGGTCAATTCCAATGCCAGCTGATATACTAATTGTTTTGGTCCTCTTAATAGGTTTTTGGTCCACTTATATAGTGGAGAAAAATATTGGAATTCTTTATTACAGTGCCTTTTATTACACTTCTCGTGATGACGCAGTCATAAAGACTCAGGAATATTTCCCAAAAGAAGAAAAAAATTCGTATTAGTCATTAGTCGAAAAAAATTTCAGGTCAAATTAAATTTTTTCGAGAAAAATCCGAATAAGATGAGAAATTTAATTTGAAAATTAAAATAAAGTAAAGAGTCAGGAATATTTCCTAAGCGAAGAAAAAAATTCGTATTAGTCATTAGTAATTCTACTATTCAAAATTAAATTACGGGAAAATTTATTATTCACAGTTCTTCTGAGGATATCAAATTGAGACAAAAAAACGTATCAAAAGTGTTGCGAAGCAACATTTTGATATTTTGATATCCTCAGATATCCTCAGTTGATATCCTCAGTTTTTTCAATTTGATATTCTCAGAAAAACTTTGCCACAAAGGAAAATTTCGTATTGAAGTATTTTTTGAATGGTTCACAAGTTTTTCACCTTTCAAATGAAGGAAATATTTTCTATTAAAAATATTTCCATAAATTACTAATTGCAAATGAGCTGAAATTTTTGAAAGTTTAAGTCACTAAATGAACAATTATTGTTTTCATACTTTTTCAAATTGTTAATTTTATTAGAAAATATGTTTTTTTAATTAAAAAAAAACTAAATATTAATTTTTTAATTAAATTAACGATTATTGTTTTAATACTTTTTTCACATGCGATTTTTGTTCGAAAATATTTTTTTTAATTGAAAAGAAAATAAATTTTAACTTTTGAAAATATTAAAAATAAAAAAAATTTCGTTCATTTAAAAATTTTTTTAATTTAGAAAAATGATTGAAGTAGATTTCAATAAAATGTGGATTTTATTAGAAAATATATTCTCTTTAATTATAAAGAAAATAAATTTCAATTTTTGAAAATATTTTAAACAAAAAAGAATTCTATTCATAAGAAAGTTGTTTTTAAATTTAAGAAAACGATTAAAAAAATGTGAATTTTATTAAAAAATATTAGTTTTAATTAAAATAAAATAAATATAATAAAATGTTGTTTATTTGAAAATTTAAAATTGTAGGAAAATGATTGGAATAAAATGGAAATTTTATTAGAAAAATCTCTTCTTTTTAATTAAAAAAAAAAAAAATATTCATTTTTGAAAATATTTTTTAAAAAAATTTCGTTCATTTAAAAATTTAGGAAAATGATTGCAATAAAAATTGAAATGTTAAATTTATCAATTTAGAGTCTTTGTAATTAATTTTTTTGACACGTGTCGGAGAATTATTGAAATAAATTTTAATTTCAAGAAGAAACAAATTAATTTCATTAATTTAAACGTTCAAAACTTTAGAACCATTTTTTTAATACGAATTTATGGATTTCTTTCCTCTTTATTAAGAAGAAATTTCTTTTGCTGAATATGTGTAGACGAAATTTTTGTCTAATCGTCGAATTTTTATCTTATTAACAGGAATTTTTTATGTAAATATTTTTGCTGAAAATATTTACTGAAAATACTTAGTAAATTATTTTCTGAAAATATTGTTATTTTCATTGAAGAGAATTTTGGGAAAATAAAATTTTCGTTCTTTTATCACTCTCTTGGTACGAGAAACATGTCCTTGAATTTTCCCTCTTTTTTCTGTTTATTAAAACAAAAAAATCAATGAGGAAAAAGGTAGTGTAATAAGAAAAATAATTCGTTTTTATAGAAATCTTGTCGTCCATATAATTCTGACGAAATTTCTCGCTAACTAATCCATTCTTACTCAACCTGTTGATTTTATAGGTTTAAGCATATTATACAATTCTGATAATACTTAAAACTTTTGATTAGACAAAATAGCGAGCAAAATAGTGGAATTTAATTTAATAAAAATGTTGTTTATCGATAAACGAATTACAATTGAATTTCGTTTATCGATAAACAACACATTATTTGTAGTTAGATTGGAAATTTATATTTAGTCAATATTGATTTGTTTTCTTTCGTGTTGACTTCCTCTTTTTTTTAGGGTGTAATTTAATTGAATTGAATTTATTCTCACTCGTATTTTATTTATTTCTTTATTTAAACAGTGTCAGGGTGTCTACTAACCGGGAATTCCGGGAAAACCGGGAAATAACCGGGAATTTTATTTGACCGGGAAAAACCGGGAATTAGCCGGGAATTTTATACCGAACCGGGAATTTTTTCACAAAAATTAAAAAAGTTTTATTATTTTAATTTGTTTTTAAAAAATCAATTTTTATTTCAATTTTTATAGATATTTATACTGTTCTCTAAATTTAAGTTACTTAAAAATAATTAATTTGATGATAAAAAATCAGTTACCAATTCAAATATATTATGTAAATAAATTTTAAAAAAATTATGGAGTTAATAGAAATATTGTGAAATTCGACTGAAAATATGTAATTAAATTTGTTAAAGAAATTCATTAGAAACTTTTTAACAAATAGAATTTTCAAAGTATTTTAATTTAATAATTGATTAATAATTGAATATTATAAAGAGTAAAATTCTAATGTATTCATGTTTCTTACTGCGAAGATTAATAATTAAAATTTTTATTAGTTAATTTAAAAAAATATACATACTTAAAATTGTTTAATGAAATTGAACTTTCGCAAAATTTTTTTTAAATCTAAAAAATAAAATTGTTGTAATTTTTCAATTCTATTGTTTCAAGATAATTGAATTTTTCTAAACAAATCATTGAAATTTTTTTACTTTTTTTGAGAAATAATTGAATTTTTTTAAAGAATTTTATTTAAATTTTTCGAAAATAATCAAGGGAAGTTAGTGACCATAATTATAATTTTATTTTTAAAATTTTAAGTCCCTCTTACAGTTTTAAATCAATTTTTTGCTTCTAAAAATTATACTATTCTATTATTTTATTTTATTTTATTTTCATGTATCAACGGGCTTACAAAATATAAAACGCCCTTTCGTACAAAGTACTAATATAAGAAAAAGAAAAAAAAAAAAAGAATATTAATTACAATGAATAATTAATTATTTGATTACGCTGCGTAATATTCAAATAATAAGTTGCGCAGGGCAGTGGTAAAACGTAGAGTTGAATTTTCGAAAAAATTTAGATCATGTGCACTTTCATTAGCCTCACGACATATACGTTCGAAAACATTATTATCACCATACTCTGTTCTATGATATTTAACTTTGAAAAGAAGAAAATTACGTGATGGTTTGTAAGGCACAGAGAAATTTATTTTACATAAAATATCCGGACAATTAATCATTCCATTTATAATTTTAAAAAGAAACATTAAATCCGAGTACAGAAATCTGGATGAAATTGTCGGGATCTTCAATTGCCTCCTTACGTCATCATATTCATGTGAAAAAAAATCATAGGTAATATCGAGTTGCTTAGCAGCGAAGCGCAAAAACCTATTTTGTATTCGCTCCAATCTCCAATTATTATTTAATAATTATAATTATTGAACTTCTCTTAAATTTTTATCATTTTAAATTTCTGAATGTTCAAATAAATGATATTTATTTATTTCTTGAGCAAATTAAATGTTTATTACATATTAAGTAAATAATTAATTATTGCTGCTTATTATTTTCAAAAATTTTAATAAAATTCTTCACAAAAATTAAATTATTTTCATAAATAATAGCATTCTTTAGAAGGATTCAATTATTTTTATAAATAGTAAAATTCTTTGCAGAAGTTCAATTATTATCAATGTAATTTTAATAAAATTGAAAAATCCAATTTTCAATTATAATTATAAAGAGACAAGATTATTTTTAAAAACTTGAAAAAATTCTTTGTTTAATTCAAGTATTTTACAAGTTTTTAATTAAAATTATTGAAAAAAACATTATTTTCAGAAAATTTAATGATTTATTTATGTTTAAAATCAAATTTAAATTTACATTTGATAAGAAAAAAAACCGGGAAAAAATTAGGATATAGCCGGGAAAAACCGGGAAATAACCGGGAATTTTGTTAAACGAAAATAGTAGACACCCTGAGTGTGTACGGGCTTGGAAAAAAACGCCCTTATTTATATCATCGTAAATTTTAGGGTGACAACAATTTTTTTATTACTTTCGAAAAATATTGTGTATAATATTAGGAGAAAGAGAAAGAGTGATAAATTTTTCTTTTGCTTCGATTTTACACGCACTTGTTTTCGAGAATATTAATTTTTCTTTTAGTTAGAATATTTGGTAACTGATAAAAGAATGTTTACTTAGAATATTTTAGTCAAATGCTAATAAAAGAACAAGGTCATCAGCTGTTTCTGATCTCTATCCAGTTTTACGATATTTTATACGATTATTTTTTTTCAGAGAATTTTTAAAAATGAATCGAACAAAAATACCAATTTTATGATTAAACTTTTGTCCTACTGAAAATTTTTATCTATATTTTTTTTTAAACGAATTTATTAAATTCATGTTTGAAATTGAATTTGAAATTTGGTAAAATATTTTATTTATTTATTTTTATTGGAATTGTTGATTGATTTTAATTTGGTATTAGAAAAAAAATTATGTACATTTTTTTTGACGATAAAGAAAAGAAAAAAATTTTTTTTCTAATCTGGTTATTATTGAGAAATTACTAATGTTTTCTTTTTACGGCTTAGATGTCCTTATCTTCATCGAACGGCAGGAGATACTGAAAGGCGTTACCATCTACGCTATTACAAAACGTGTATGTGCGTTCACGATACGGACACACGTGGATTTTGTGTTAAAAATGGACCGCATTGTGCGTTTGCACATGGGAATCACGATCTTCGACCTCCTGTTTATGATATTAAGGAAATTCAAGCATTGGAAAATCCAGAATCTGATCCTAATAATTCTTCTAATGGGCCCAATATACTTGACAAAGAACGAAACTTAATGAACGAGGACCCAAAATGGCAGGACACGAATTATGTTCTTAGTAATTATAAAACTGAACCTTGTAAAAGACCTCCTAGATTATGTCGACAGGGTTATGCCTGTCCTCAATATCATAATAGCAAGGACAAAAGGAGAAGTCCAAGAAAATACAAATACAGGTGAGCTTCAAAAACGAAATAAATTTAATTGAATTTTTTATTTTTACTTAAATTAATTAATTATTCATTTTTGCTTATTTTTTAATTAATTAATCTTCAGGGTTGCCACTGGTCAGGAAATTCAGGAAAAACTCAGGGAAAATAAAATTGTTCACGGAAAACAAGGGAAAAGTCAGGAAATTTTATCGAAACTACTGGAAAAATATTAAATTTTATTTTCCATAAAGTTTTGAACGTTCAAATGATGGAAATATTTTTTTCTGCTCCAATATTTTTAAAAATTCCTAGACTGAAATGAAAAATATTGTAATTGAATATTTATTTACTTAAAAATTATTTTTTTAATTATATGAAAAACAATATTTTGTAAATAAAAATCAAATTAAAGGAAGTAGTAAAAATATCGTCGTCCATTTGAAAGTTCAAAACTTTAGGGAAATTAAATATTGAGATGGCTTCCTTTTTGAATTTTTCTTTTTTTTGCTTTATAAACTTCAAAATTATTAAGAATTTAATTCTAATCAAATTTAATTTTAATTAAATTTATTCTTAATTTAATTTTGAGTTTTTTCTATTTCCGTCAATAATCGAACTTTACAGAATATGAAATTAAATTTGTTTTAAATAATTTAATTCCTAAAGAATTATGACAAAATTTCTTCTGCATAAATTATTTAGCGAATAATTTTGCTTGAAAATTCCAAAAAGAATTTAATTGCAGTAGAATTGAGTTTACAGTTTTTAAAAAGTTATATTTCAAAAGTTTTCAAACTAAATTTTTTGAAAATTTGAATTTTAAATAATTTATTTTAATCAAAATTTGAACGTTCAAATGAAGGAAATATTTTTTGTGCTGTAATATTTTTAAAATTTACTACCCCTAAAATAATCACTATTGGAATTGAACATTTATTTGGTTAAAAATTAATTTTTTAATTATGGAAGACAATATTTTGTAACTAAAATTGAAATGAAAAGAAGTAGTAAAAATATCGTCGTCCATTTGAACGTTTGTAACTTTTGGAACATAAAATTTTCGAGTGAGCGAAATTTCGTAGAATTTTCGTAAACAAGCGGATTTCAGAATTATTCTAGTTGAATTTTCTTTTTATTTTTCGTTCTATTTTATTTTTATTTATTTTTTATTTGAATAATTGAATTCTCAAAAATTATTAATTGAAAGAAGAATTTTAGTAAAATCTGCTAGAAAATAATTTAATTAAAATCTTGGAAATAGTTTTGTAGAAGTTACAGTAAATAATAATTTACTTCTCGAAGAACTTTCGGTAAATTATTAAAAATAATTTTGAGAATTTTTGTTAAAAATTATGGAAAACAATATAAATTTCTATTGAGTTGTAGTCGAAATTTTTGGAAAGAATTAAATTTCAAAATCCGGAATAATCCAGTTTTCGAAAAATTTTAATTAAAATTTTTTAGAATAATTTTTGAATACAATTATTTAAAAAATGTCGAAATTTCTGAAAAATGAATTGAAAACAATTGAATTTTGGCCTTTTTTAAGGGAGCTTTCTTTTCCTTGAATAATTAAATTCTATATAAGAAGTCTCACAAAATTATTGAAAATAATGAATTGAAAGAAGAATTTTAGTTGAAAATGATAGAAAATAATTTAATTAAAATCATGAAAATAGTTGTAGAGAAGTTACAGTAAATCATAATTTAATTCTCGAAGAACTTTGGGTAAATTATTAAAATTAATTGATTTAGAGAAGAATTTTAATTAAAAATTATGGAAAATAATGAATTGAAAGAAGAATTTTAGTTGAAACTGGTAGAAAAGTTGGAAGTTGGAAAAGTTGCAGCAGCAAATTTTATAAATAATTAAATATCAGAAAAGTTTCAAATCAGAATATTTTTTAGATTCATCAGGAAAATAAAATTCCGTCTGGAAAAATAGGGAAAAACAGAAGTAAATTTTTGTGGCAACCCCGATTTTGATTTAATTAAGCACATTACAGATAAGAATTGTGATGATAATTATTTTTTTTTAGATCAACACCGTGTCCAAATGTGAAACATGGAGAAGAATGGGGTGAGCCGGGAAATTGTGAACAGGGCGATACCTGTACGTATTGTCATACTCGTACCGAGCAGCAATTCCATCCCGAGATTTACAAGTCGACAAAGTGCAATGATGTCCAGCAGGCGGGTTACTGTCCTCGTGGTGTCTTCTGTGCTTTTGCACATGTTGACCGTGAGTGTACTCCCATAAATCGTACGTAACATACTTAATTTAATTTGCCTGTGAGCTTAGGAAACTCAATATGCATTGCCTCTTGTGTTTCTCTTTCAAAGTTTTCACTTATGGGTAAATAATAGCTTTTTCCCAGGGAAATATCAATATTATCCTCTAAATTTCATTGCACTTTGAATTTTCACTGTCGAATTGAATTCATTAAATTTCATTTAATTAAATGAAGTTTAATTTAATTTATTAAATAGAAATTCGAATTTTTTAAAAAAGTTTAATCAAGTTTTATTAAAAAAGTTTTTATTGCTACCTTTTGGAAGCATTGTTTTTAGTTCGGTTAGAAAAATTATTTTATGTGGAAATCAAGTTGAAGATAAAATCTATTTTCGAAAATTCAAATTCGATTCAATAATTTTTGAAAATAGTGAAAATAGTGAAAATTCGAAATAATGGTTTTTAGATAATATTTATGCTTTCCTTTTTTTCGCAAAAAACGCAACTTTCAGAAAATTTACAACTCTGCGTGTGTTTCTTGTTAACTTCTTTTGATTAATTTTATATTTATTTATTTTATTGTTTCCTCATAAAGGAAGGATTGTTTTTTTTATTTTTTCAACGACGAACATCTTGTTCCTGAATTAAATTTCTAATAAGAATCAAAATCAAAATTATTTAAATAAGTTTCACTGAAAATTGAAAAAATTGCCAATAACATTGCCAATTGGCTTTTTATTTTTCTTTACATGCCTGATTTACAGTGTTTTAAATTCGAACATCTTCCGTTGGTTTTCTTATTATTTTTTTCTGTAGTTTTTCACATAACACCGAAGATTTTCTTCTTTTTCTTTTTTAATATTAAAGAAAATTTAAAAATAAATTTAAACTATTAAGAAAATTTTCGCTGCTATCTGAATTATTAGTGAATGTAATTTCAAAAAGAAAAAATTGTTGTATTTTTGCGAAGTAAAATTTATTCTATTAGTAAACAAACAAAAATTAAGTAAGTGAAAATAAAAGTTGAAAAAAAAATTGATAATATTCAAACATTGACATTGGTGTGCTGATGGAGCAGTGTTGCCAACAGAAGAAATGAGCTTGGCGAGGGACATTCCGGTACCTATAGATTGCGGCACAAATTTGGCGGATATTCTCAGCAACGCTTTACCCCCTGACAAGAGATCTCACGATAAGGATAAAACTCTAAGCGACAGCAGTGTAAGTTTTTTTCCCCTGATAGAAAATAGAAATTTTCACTCAGTCAAAATCGATACTTTTCTTAAATCAATTTCTTATTTTTAAAGTTTTGTATTTTTTCTTTTATTTGTCTTTTTAAAAACTAGGAATTTTTATAAAACTCAGTTATACATGAAGAATTTTTTTTTATACAAAAAGTATTTTTTATAAAAAAAAGTATTTTCTAAGAGAAGAATTTTCTATATAAAAAGGGTTTTTTTAAAAAAAGTATTTACTATGAGATGTATTTTCTATAAAAAGTGTTTTCTATAAAAAATATTTTCTATAAAAAGTGTTTTCTGTAAAAAGTATTTTCTATAAGAAGTATTTTTTCATATGAAGTTTTTTTACATGAAGTTTTTTTATATGAAGTATTCTTTTTATAAAAAGTATTTTTTATACAAATGGTTTTTTCGTATGAAGTATTTTTTTTAAAGAAATTGTAAAAGAACCGAAATGGTTGCCGTTTTTCTCGTGAAAGAATTACTTTTTAAAATAAGTTTCTTTTTTTGAGCAAGTAGATAATAGATTGAATGAAAAATGAATATGGAATGAGGGTAATGACTTAATGTCAATAGTTGGCTGCATTACAGAATGGAAGCGGAGAGGTATCAGAATCCGCAAGCACTAGCAGTCTTGGCAGCAATAGTTCTCATAGTAAAGCGCCAGGTGCTCAGCTTCATAATTCAAATTCGAATTCCAACTCCCAGAAACTCAGTAATATGTTATTCAATTCTGGATCTCTCATTCAAGTTGTAAGTAATGAAAAATTCTATACTAAAAACACGATACTTTGATTTAATTCTTATTTCTGGAAATAAATTAAAAATTTTTTTACATTTATCCAAACTAAATCGTTTTTATACCTTTTATGTTAGTTAATATTCTTTAATTTCGTATCATTTATATTATCTAATTTTATAATACTGACGATTCTATCACTTAGTCAAATAATTAAAAATTAAAGTTAACGATCACGCGGAGTGATCGTTAACTTTAATTTTTAATTATTTGATTGTGATAGAATCATCTTTATAAAATTCTTGAATTTAAGATTTAATTCAATTTTAATATTTTCCAAATTTGTACTTGATGGAAACGTCTTTTATTTTGCAGAGTGATATTCGAAAGCAAGTGGTGGCGATTGAGAACGATCCTTTGATGACGAAAGGAGAAAAGGCCCAAAGGAAACAGAATCTTTATCTAGCTTACAATTTAAATGGTTCCTTGGGTCATTCACTTGGCTCGTCGGTCACACCGTTAACGAATTCTTTCTATACAAATGACACTGTCGAATCAGTCGTAGGTCAGTAAAGAATAGAATTAATTTCTGCACGTTTTGTTTTTCACATTCATTTTTTTGCAATAGAAATAAAAAGAGAGAATTCGAACTTTTTTTTTTAGGAAATGCATTAGATGATTTACATTTAGACGATCCGATTAGTATCGTGGATTCCATTCATAGAGATACTAATTCTCCAATTTCCAATTCAATTTCTGCTGGTCTGGCAAGCTCAGGACTACTTGGAAGCTCAGCTCCAGTTAATATTCCAGGAATGTCTGATAGATCTGTACTGTCGAATTTTTCGCCCTCAACATCCAGTCCATTGCAACATCTACAGTCTGCTGGATTTCTCACGGGGTCTCGATTCTCTCATCAAGACTCGATAGAATCTGTAAGTTTGAATAAAAAATAATTAATTTGAAAAAGAAAATATTTGGAATTGAAAATTGAATTTTGTAATTATGTTATTCTTTTTCTGTTTTAGACAATGCCATTTATGAATACTGTCTCGGATCCGTTTAGCAATCATATCTCACAATTGAGTAGTTCAGCGTCAAAACTTAGTGGTTTCAATAGCAGTTTATTTGATTTTGCGAATCAGGGAATGTCTCCATCTCGAACTCAACCTCTTCCAGCTTCTCCTTTAGTCAGTGCATTTTCAATGAGCCCAAACAATTCGGGATCACTTTCAGAAGTAAGTATTCAAAAAAATATAATTTCAAAATTTTTCAAACAAAAAAACAAATTATTTAAGATTCTTAAAAATTTATTGTCAAGAAGAAGGGAATTTTAATTCTTGCAGGCTTCGTACTCAGCAACTAAAACCTACTATTTACTACTTTTTTACGATTTGCTACTATTTTGATACTTTTTTTCAGCTTTTGTGACTCTAAAAGCAAATTTTTTCTTTCTTTTTAGAGAATTTGCTCTAGTTTGAATTCGCTAATAGATGCAATAAAGAAATTATTCTCAAAAATTTTAACAAAATTCTTAGAAACAAATCAACAAATTTAAATTCTTTGAAACGATTCAATTATTTTCGAAACATTTTCGAAATTCAATTATTTTGAATATTTACTATTTTAATAAAAAAAAATTTCCCAAAAGAATTTAATTATTTGAAAACAATTTTTTATAAAATGTTAACATTCAAGTATTTTCATAAGTAATAAAAGTCATCGGAGGATTTCAATTATTTTTTATACATTTGATAATAAATTCCTCGAAAAAATGAAATTATTCTTAAAACTTTTATTAAAATTCTTCGAAAGAATTCAATTATTTAGAAAAATTGTGATATTATTTGTTTATTAGAATTTAATAATTATTTTCAATACATTTTTAATTAAATTTTTTGAAATAATTTAATTATTTACAAAAATTTTAATGAAATTCCTCGTAACAATTTAATTATTTTCAAAAAATTTTAATAAAATTCTTCGTAGCAATTTGATTAATTTCAAAAATTTTTCGAAATTGAATGTATTTTAAATATCTAGGTTCTATTTCAATAAAATTTCCCAAAAGAATTCAATTATTTTCAAAAGCTCATAAAATTCTTTGGAGAAATTCAATTATTTTCAATACAACTGAAATAAAATTTCTTGATGGAATTATTATTTTAAAAGTTTAAAAAAATTTGTTGATAGAATTCAATTAATTTTAAGAATTGTTATAAACTTTTTAGAAAAACTCTATTCTTTTTGGTAGAATTTTAATTAAACTCCTTTTACGAATTTAAATTTTCTTCGAAAATAATTCAATTTGCATTGTTTATAAATTTAATTTTTATCTATTATTTTCGTAAATAATAAATTTTTCACAGGAATTCAATTATTTAATCAATTTAATTTCAATTATTTTTAAATGTAACTTTAACTGAATTCTTCGAAAAATGCAATTATTCTTGAAAATTTTATCAAAGGCTTTGAAAAAATTCAATTATTTTTAAAATCTTTGATAAAGTTCTTTATAAGAATTCAATTTTAAGAAATATTCACAATTATTCAATAAATTATTTATTTTTGCATTCAAATAATTGAACTCTCGTAAAATCTTCTAATGAGAATTGATTTAAAATTAAATTTTAGTTAAAAATTTACATAATTGAATATTAGAACCGTAAATAGTGTGAATTTTTAGAAATAAATAAATTTCAAAATGTTTTTAAATTGAAATCTTTGAAAATTTCAATTGTTGCAAAAATGTAATAATATTGAAATTATTATTTTTAAATAAAATAGTTAATGTTGTGAATAATTTTATTTAAAAATTTCAACAAATATTGATTGAATTACAGTTGAAGAATTACAGTTGAAATCTTTAGAAATAGTTGAATTTCAAAAAGGCTTTACATTGAAATCATTTGAAATATTTTAATTCCTGTGGAAAAATTAATAGATATTCAAATATTTATATTTTAAAATTTTCTGTTTTTGAATGTAATTTAATTTAGAAATTATGAAAAAATTTAGTAGTCAAATTTAATTTTTCGATAGATAATTTTGTACTACTTTTTTCAGTCTTGAAGCTACTTTTTGCTATTATTTAAAAATTAATTAATTAAATTATCAAGTACGAAGCCTGTTCTTGGGAAAATATTTCAAAGTAAAAAGTTAGTTTGAAACGTTGATTAATTATTTTTAATTATTTATTTCAAATTATTTTGAAATCGTTCATTTCCATGATTTCCTAATTATTTTAAACTTCGTTTAGTTTAATCAATTCCTGGCAGACTAGTGCGAAGTAAATTAGTTTAACAAGGGGAACAAAGTGTAATTTTTATATTTTTCATTTTTTAGTTACAGGTGCAAAGACTGAGAGATGAATTAACGTCGAGTCGCGCACAACTTGCAACGTGGGACGAACGCATCAATCAGGCGAGAGCTGCTTGTGCAGCCTGGCAAATGGAAAGTGAAGACGCCAAACGGAAAGCGACAATAGCAGAACAACAAAGGGACGAGGTCAGTGTTTTTTAAAATTTAATTACAGTCTTTCGACAATTTTCATAATTATATATTTTACTCACTTTTATTTTTAATTTAACATTTCCTCTTCACTTTTATTTTTAATTTAGCATTTCTTCTTCAATTTTATTTTTAATTTAGCATTTCTTCTTTAATTTTATTTTTAAATATTTCTTTTTTAATTCTTTTAATATTCCATAGAGTATTTTTTTAAATCATTGCGTGAATTGGTGAGAAATTGAGTTTAAAAAACTTAATTGCTTTGTAACTAAACATTTTTCAGTATCGAAATGAATTCCAGGCATTGAAGCAATTGCGTGCCGAGAAGGAAGCAGCGAATGGTGGCCCCTATCTGCACACCCTTAAGCGTACAAGTGAACTTCGATCTCTGCCAATCACGACATTACAATCAATACAGACACAACTGCGCTCGGATCTTGAAGAACTGGAAAAGGTGAAGCAAAATTGTCAATCAGGCTTGAACAACTGGGATATCGGTCGATTTTCAAACTATTTTTAATGAGACTTCATTAATAACCTATTGAAGGCACGCTATTTAATCTCTTCACAGATTCGATTTGTGCCTTCTAATCGTTTAAAAAAAAGAAACCCACTATTAGTGAGAATATGAATTTATAATCCTTCGCTGTGAGTCGCACCGTAAAGTTCAAAATCAGGGAAAACAAAAAAAAAGTGGACGTTTAAGAAAAAAAATTTTTTTCAAATTAGATCATAGAACAAGCGAAAATATGGAAACTGTTCCTTTCAACATTTCGGCAAAGTAGAAAAAAATTCTATTCATTTTTCGATTCAGAAAAAGAGAAATTAAAAAACAAATTCCTAATACAGAGAAAGAATAGTATCTAAGAATTTTTTTTATCATTTTGTTCGAATTGAAGTTTCCAAATTTTCTCTTCTTCTTGAATATAATATTTATATGGGGGTGTGTCAGGTGAAAGAAAAAAAAAACTCACACACACATAACAGAAAATCGAGTGAGAAACTCGATACATTTTTGAGATCCACTTTGCACCAAAAAAAAAGCAAACAAATTTCAATCTTTTCAATTAAACGAATTTTTTGAGTAAAAAAAATGCAAAAAAAAAAGAAACAAAAAAAAAGAAAACATTGGGTAGCTCAGATGTTGCCATTTCAGGTGCTGTACCGGGAAAAGGCAAATAGGTGCATGGTATGCGAGGATCAAAATCGCACTGTAACCCTCTCGGCGTGCAACCATCGGGTAGTTTGTTCAACGTGCGCTCCCAATCAACACGAGTGCCCGTACTGCCAGACTTCGATGGTCTCAACAAATTAGGTCGGAAACAAACAAACAAAAAAAAAGAAACAAAATCTATCAATCTTTTCAGTTTTCCCAAAAATGAAAAAAAAAATTCGCACTAATCAACATGGGGACAAGTATTGCATTAATTGAGTACTCGGACATTTAAGAAAGCAATCCTCAATGACAAAGAAAAAGAGAGAGAGAGAGACACAGAGAAAAGAAAGAAACAAAAATGAAAATTCAAGAGATAAAAAAAAACTGCTTCCGAGACTTCACAGTAAATGATAAGGTGGATGTGATATGACAATTCTTACACGTTTTTCTCTTTTTAGAATCTTTTTATCAATTTCGTACCGGTTGCCCTCCGCCCCCCCCTCAATTTTCCCCCCATTATATCTGGTCATTCCGAAAGCTTTTTTTAGTATCAAATTATTTAATTTAAATTAAAGATGAAAAATAAAACGCAACACTTAAAAGTAGTTCCAAGGAAAAAAGGCTGATGGAACTTTTTTTTCAGCGTAATCAAGCTGAAGATTGCATTTATATTTCTATATATTTAAAACTATATAAGTAGGATTTTTCAATTGACCCCTAGGGGTATCCATAGTAATTAAATTGAGTATTAACCAGAATATAAATTAATTTTCAAAGACGTTTCTCGATCGTTAATAAAATTCGGGCATAATTAAAATAAAGTTGACAATTTTTTTTTATAATAGAGAACATTGAGAAAAGAATTAGAATTTGATAAAAGAAATAAATAAATGAATTTTTAGGAAAAATGAAGAGAATTTTTCTAACTTTTTCTAAAAAATGGAAAAATCACGATAATGAGAAAAAACCTAATTAGATTTAGATGCACGAATAGAGATGAATAAATATAATCGTATAGCTTGAATTTTATATGAATATGCTTCTATTTTCATAATTGCAATTAGGTTTTATGTAGATTGTAAGTAGGAAATACATGATTGATACTAAAAAAAATATATACATATTACAATATATGGTTTTCAAGTATAGATAAATAAAATAACTACTTTTTTCTATGTTAATTGTATGACTAAAAACAAATGATCTGTATTTAAAAAAAAAATTGAATTTTTTAAGTACAGTATTTAATTTTACGATTATTTTTAATTTTAATTTTTTAAAATAATAACGGAAAAAAAAATTAATATGAATGGTTCGACTCGTTTGTGTTGTGACGTTTATTCAAATGATAATTGTATGTTAATAGGTGAAAACTTAGGATTTTTCAATTTATTAATCAAAATAATGTATTTAATAATGAATATAAATCTTCAGCTTGATTCCGCGCCGGTACGTTTATTTTCCATCAAAATTAAAAAAAAAAAAAGAAACGTTATTTGGTGATTTAAATAGATAAAACAATTATTGATATTCTGTAGTTGACAGGCACTAGAAATTTGTTTTCTACTCTTTATTTTTTTTCTAACTACTACTACTAAATAATAATAATAATAATATTGTTAAATTCTATGACAAAGAAGGACTATAGCATTCGTAATTAAAAAAAATATAAATATTATATTATATTCTCTAAGATACAAATTACTAGGATAGATAGGAAGCTATCAAATTTTTTCTTAGGTATTACAATGTTACAATTATTAGTTTTAAAAATAATGAAAAAAAACAATATTTTCAGTCCTTTAAATTGATTTTAATTTATTTAAATAATTAAAATTAAAATTAAAATTATTTAAGTTTAAAAGGCAATAACTTGTGCTACAAGAATTTGAATAGATTTAATTCTACTTATTATAAAACGTATCTAATTTAATTAATATTCAAGGACTGAAATTGTTGAAACATTTTTTTAAATTTGTAATAATACCCTGCAATTTCTTTTTCTTTTTTAAAGAGGAAAAAAAAAATTGATTTTTTAAGATTCTTGCCTCAAGAATAATAATAAATAACTAATAATAATAATAGTATAATAAAATTACAATAAAAAAAAATAATGAAAGAAGGATCGCAGAGGGTATTATAACAGAATTTACCACAAAACGAATCAATAATAATTGCGCAATTCAATATTGTTAATTTTTCCAGTTTTTAAAAAAGAAATTTTCTGAAATAATAATTTTTGTATAAAAAAAATGACGATGAGGCCAAAAAGAAATGTTTTTTTTATTAGATCAGTTTTTAGATAAATATTAAAATATTAATACACGTTAAAAAATAAAAGTATGATCTTATTAACTCATGATGTGCACGATGTATGAAATAACGTAAAGAGAAATTTTTTTTCTAAAGAAAGTATATTTACAATTGTATAAAATTACAATTATTTCGTCTAAATCATGTGGAAAAGAAAAAAAAATGAAAGAAATTGTTATAATTACATATTATATATTTTATAGTAATTCATACGACGACGAATAAATAAAATGAAACATAAATTTTCGTTCATCGTGCACAGCATAAGATAAATTTCAAGATACTATCTAGGTTTTTAAAAGAAAAAAGAAATTAGCATTACAATAATGCATTTTTTTCAATTTTGCCATTGTATATGCATTTTTTTTACGGGTTCTCGCATTAACAAATGATAGTATAATAAAAATTTTGATGAAAAGAAATTTTTGAAAAAAATACAAATTAATACTCGAATTAGTTTTTTATCGGATACTCGTGAAAAAAAATGCATTTACGATTAGTGTACGCTCGTCGTGATCGTCAGTTCACTCCTTGTGTGTGTATGTGTGTTTTTACTATTACTATTATTATATATAAATTTCCATTGAACTGATGAATCTTTAACAATTTAGCTTTATCATTATTTAATTAATTTGTTTCGAAAAAAATGCTATAATCCTTATAACAAATATTTTTATTCTGCATTTCATTGTTTTTGCATTTTATAGTCATAACTATATATTTTTTTTAATTCATAAAAATTCAAATTTGTCGTTTGCAAATTTATCTGAAAAATTCAAAAAAAAAAAAAATGTTTTAAATAGAAGTGTTGAAAATTAATTGGATTTTAAAGAAAAAAAAATAGTTAATATTATATTACTCTTGGTGATTGGAAAAGAAATTAAATTAATATTCGAAATATGAATTATATTTTTTTATAAAATAATTTATGATTCTATTTAATTTTTTTTGAAGAAATAATAAAATTCTATAGATCAATTTCTTTTTTAAAAAGAAATTCATTTTTAATAATCATGTTTTTATTATCATTAAAAAATGACGTATTATTATAGTTAACTTTCGATCACGCCAAGCAAAATGAAAGAGTTTAGAAATGATATTTCTGATTAATATAATTATATAAATAAATAAATAAATATATTATATATATATAAATATTGTAAACAATTACATTCATATTACGCTATTTTACTTATAATAATGAATAATATACTACGATCATATTAATAATTATTATGAAATTAAATTATTGTGAGGACGACAAATTTAGCTACAAATAGGTTAATAGGAGAGTAACAAAGTGAATGATTAGCTATTATTACTTATCCAATAAAAACTTACGCAGTTGAATATTTATAAAATATAAAAATTCTGTCCCACTTGTTGGTTTCTTTGCTTTCAGAATTTTCTTTTTAAATTAAAAAAAATGAAATAATGTATTAATAGTTATGTAAATTATACATTTAATTATTAAAATAATTATATATTTATAATTATTGCTATAATTTTATATTTATATAACTATAATTACATGTTTATACGCTAATATATAGATATCAATTATATGCTAATAATTGTGTATTGATAATTAATAATTAATATATTAAAGAAAGTTTTAATAAAAAACCATTTTTTTTGTAAAGAGCTTAAATTAATAAATAAAACAAAGACAACCAACAATGGGGCAGACAAAATTGAAAAAAAAATATTATATATATTTTTGAAAAAATCGTAAAACAATACAAAAAAGCGACGACGTGTAATGGCCTGTTTGTGCGAATGATTCTTCCAATAAGTTAATGCTTTCTTGAAATAATTTGCTTTTTAATAGATAATGATTAAAAGAAATTTGCAATTTACATTTTTTAAGGGACATAAAAATTGTGACGAAAGAATTTTTGGAATAAATAAAGAAAAAACTTGTTGAACTGAAGAATTATCTGCACAGTACAGAAAATAATATAAACCTACACATAATCACTAGGCTACTTTTGACGATAATAAATTGTGTAAAAAATAATATTAATATAATAATAATAATTATAATAATGATCTTAAAAAAAATATATCATTTGTATTACAATTTGTCGATAATAATTATTGTCAATCCAGGTCATCTGTAATCAATATTGTAGTTTTTGATATTCGACCATGCAATTTATTATGTAATTTTCTATTACTTTCACTTTCTGACATTTTCTGCTGAGCGAGTACTTTTTGCGACAAAAAAAAATGATTCATTTTGCAGTTCAAGGACTTTTTGAAAAATTATTTCTCGTATTGCGAAAGTTTGTAATTAGACGAAAAATTATGTTTTATTTCGAAAGAAATTTTTTGTATTTTCTGCGAATTTTTCTATTTTGCAAATGGATTTTTTATTTTTTGTAAATAGATTTTTCTACTCTGCAAATAGATTTTTATTTTACAAATAGATTTTTCTGTTTTTCAAATGGAATTTTCGATTTTTTGAATAGATTTTTCTATTTGGCAAATAGAATTTTCTGTTTTTCAAATAGATTTTTCTATTTTACAAATAGAATTTTTCATTTTGTAAAACGAATTTTCTATTTTGGAAACAGATTTTTCTATTTTGCAAATAGAATTTTCTTTTTGTGAAAAGCGATAAACAGAAAATTTTCCTCTATTGAGACGAAAATTTTCTGGTGAAAAATAATTTGCTATTTTCGAAATTAAATTTAAAAAATTTGTTCACACTACGAGGTTTTCTATGACAAGACAAAATTTTCTACTTTTAAAATTTAACTACTACAGTAAAATTTTGTTTCCAGCGAAATTTTCGATGTAAATTAAATTCATCTTTTTTAAAGAATGAAATTTCCCAAGGAACAGAATTTTATATTTTAAATAAAAATTGCGAATTTCCGAATGTAAAATTTTATACTATCTACAAAAAAAATCTCAAAAGAAAAAATTGTCAAGGGACCAATTTTCGTTCTAATCATTTTTAAGACTCTTCATAAGAGACATTTAAAAGAGTTAATTTAAAATTAAATTTAAAAGCTAAAAACCTTACAAAAAGAAAAGCTACAAATCTTGAAAAAAAATCCTTGCACTGCGAATAAAATAAAAAAAAGTATCGTTCAGCATTAAAAAAAACAATTATCTGTCATCGCAGAATTTAAGAAAGTACTATAGTTATCAAATTGATAAAATAAAATGAACTGTTACATATTTCGATTTCTATTGTGAATTCTGCATCTCTGTAACTAGTGTAATGAGAAGTTTTACAAACTTTTTAAATGTGAAAAAAGAATAATTTTATTTAAAATTTTTCAACAATGAAAAAAAAAAGAAACAAAGTTCGACGGGATTTTAATGCAAAATGCAGAATCCAATAGAAACGCGCCTGTTTAAAGAAGCGTTTGACTATTTTTGCAATAATGAGACAAAACCGTCTTCCGGAACAATAATACAATGTTTGCGTAGCCTAAAGATTTAAAGAAGAAGAAGAAAAAAAGAAAACACAAGTGTAGGTGAAATCGAAAGATGAATAAAAGACAAATGTTTATAAAAAAAAAATTAAATATTATATAAGCTTGATCTAGATGTCACACTAAATACAAGGATAAAAATTACAAGTCATTTGACTTATGTTAATGAGCAAGGGAAAAAAAAAGAAAACAAATTATATTCGTAATATCTAGCTTGCGGTGTTAAAACAAGAAAAAATGTGCTATTTATTATATGGAAAGAAACGGATATTCCACAAAGTTTAATCTTTATTATTGTGAATACAAACTAAATTACGCATCTGAAGAAAGGACATCGAAATTTTTTCGTAATTTTGTCATATATTTATATTTCTAAATGTCTATTAATTAATGTCTACTCATTAATTAATTAATAATTAATAATTGGCTTGCTATAGAATTTATAATTAAAATATCATACTACAGTATGATTAAAGTTATCAATACTGAATAACATCAATTAACAGTGAATTTTTAAAAATATCGATAATTTTTAAGAGATTGAGATTTCAAAAAAAAAAAAAAAAATTTTGTCAATTTTTAACGATGTTTGATATTTTTCGAAAAGTGAACTTCCGTTTGCTTCTCCAGATTTGGAGAAAATGATTTCTAAAAGTTATTTAAAATTGTTTTTTTAAATTTACGGAAAAATATTGTAATCTTTACAAAATATTAATTTTTTTGCTCTGCAACATTCGTATTTTGTTTAAATAATACAAAAATTTAATTTGCTCAATAAACTTTTAACAAAGTTGATAAAATTTAACAAACAATTGTGGAGAATGTTGCAGAAAATAAATAATAATAAGTAAACTAGATAAAAATTACAATCGTTCAAAGAAAAAAAATTGATTATTTTTGCTCGCATAATAATTTTTTCCAATAATTTTACAATCAGATTTAGAAAAATTTGTCCTGGGTGTAAAAAATTTAATTTGAAATTAAAAACTGTTTGAACATCCTTAAAAATGAAATAGAAAATTAGAGATAAAATTAAAAGAATTGAAAAAGAAAATTTATTGTAAATTTTCATCTCTCCTTTCTTGAGATATAAAAAATTCAAGGACTAAATTTGTGGATCATTCTGAATCCGAACAGGGTGGCTAAAAAAAAGAAAAAATATTTTCGGAAAAAAGTCCTTTTCCCGAAAGGACACTAGTCATTGTGAAGATTACTAAAAAAAATTTTTTAAACGAAATTCACTCGATTCCTGGTGGCCACCTCTGTCAATCGAAACAATAAACTATTATCCTAGCTTATAAAGAAAAAAAATTATTAAAGATAATAGACGGTATTAACAAATTAATAGATTTTCAAAATGATCTGTCGTTCTGGTTGTGGTTACTTCTATTTATATTGTAATACCCGAAAAGAATTCTCAAACTCATATCACCGACTGTTTTTTCGTATAATAATAATAATAATTGGATTTTTGTACGTTTTTAAAAAAAAAACAAAATCTTATATAATGAAGTAACCGCTTTTGAGCTAATTATTCTTTTATAATGCGTAAAACAAAGAAACAAACAAAAAAAAACGATCTCAAATTGTATCTAAAGTTCGATTTGAAGAAAAAGAAAAGCACTGAACTACAATCATATATGTAAGTTAATAATTAAAAATATATGATTATGAAAATATGATTAAAAATATGATTAAATATATGTAATTAAATATATATTATATATATAATTAAAATATATATTATATATATATTAGAAATATGAAAATATTTACAACAATATACGACTTTTAAGATACCTCAGCTAAAAATTTTTCTAATGGTCTAAAGACTGCGAGATTTCAAGAACATATAAAAAAATGACAATGCTTTTCTTTTTTTTGAATTCGAGACTTGATTTAATTTGAGAATCGTCGATTTAAATTTTAAAGAAATCTTTTTCTTACCTAAATGTATATGTATAAAGACAAGCGCAAATTGAAAGGCGATAAAAATTTAAAAAAAAAATAAATAAAAGTTTTTCACTGTTTGGTGTTTGAATCACCGAAATTATTGTAATGCGTGTCTTGCATTCTATATATATAAATATATAAAAGAATATTGTGAGTTTAATTAACTCGATTCGTGTGGGACCTCACAGTTATTTTTTTAAATAACAACAACAAAATATTATGACAAATTCAATTTTCGATTATTCGAAAAATGAATAATGAGAGACATTTTATATTTATAAGATTTCAACTGTGGTTTGTCTGATTTTGTGATGTCATACTGATATTTTTCATAATAATGCATTTAATTAGTTTTGTTTATCATGCGTTCTGCGAGGCTGTACACAATACTTTTTTCGTTTTTTTCGTCTTCTTAAAAAACGATTCTATTCTTTTTTTTCTTAAGTTCCTTTTGAATTTTTATTGAATTTAATTTTTTACAAAAATAATTTAAATGATTTATTTATTTTAAATTATTTTTTCTTTTTTTTTATAACAAAAATAATAGAAATAGTATCTAGAAAAATTTTTTTTTTTCAATTTTGAAAATTAATCCTTTTTTTCTTTTTTTTTCCAAAATACAAAAAAGCCAAGATCGCATTATAAGTGAATTTCTTTTTTGAATATAATAAAAGTCTGATACTGCGTACAAAAAAAATAAAAGAAAAAAGAAAAGGTATTGTTCTAAGTGCAAAACTCTCAAAGAATTTTCGGTACGTGTACAAATTATCGAAATGATTTTAATTCATTATCGCTTAGATTGTTAAAATTAAGAAAAAGAAAACCGGCACAAAAAATAATAAACTTTGTATAGAAAATAATAGATGGAAACAACTTGACGCATATTAAAAAAAAAAAAGAAGAAAAGAAAGACTTAATTTTCCAAAAAAATAAATAAATAAAGCTCGTTTGTTTTAAACTGTAAAATTCTACATTATAGTAAAAAAAAATGTAATAGTGAATTCTAATAAATGTCAGTACAAATTGAATAGCAAAAGAAAAGAAATTCTGAAAAAAACGTCGTTCGAATAAAAACAAAATATTGAAACAGATATTTTTGGCAAGACAGAATTAATTAATGAAATTAAGACCGAGATAGTTTAGTAGCTATTGTAATCGTTAAATAAATTTTGTTCTAATATTTTTTTGACGACTGAAAGTTTATACATTATAGTAATGATATCTTACGACGTACATAATTCGTAGAACGAATTTTCATTACTGCTTCTTATGCTATAATTATAATAGGTAGTGTAATATAATAAAAATAGGTATTGTAAATCAATAAATTGAAATTATTAAATATAAAACAATACTGTATTATTTCTGATGTTTACTTTAAACAAGAGATTTACTTTATTTTTTAAAAAAAATAATTATTTTTCCAAAGCATTCGTAGAAAAAAAAAATTCTATGTCTATTTTTTACGTTTTACTTATTTCTATTATAATATATTTATCGTAATCTATTATATTACATTTGACTCACTATTTTATATTTAACTATTATTACCATCAGTATTACCATTATGAAGTTGTTTTATTTATAAATAAACTAATTTATTTATTTGTGACGTGCGTCCCAAACAAAGGGAACTGTCAAAAATTTATAGGTTATGTTCGTCATGTTTTAAAGATTTTCAAGATTTTAAAAGTTTTAAATGCTTCGTGGTTTTAAGGATTTTAAGTTCATGAAAATACATAAAGCTGGGTTAATTCTCACATCAACTAATGTTTAAGCCTTTATTATATTTAAAATATCCATTAAAAATTATTTCTAATTTTCCCAAATAAAGAAAAAATTTAAGAATCTAAAGAAGTCTTCAAAGTAAAAAAATAGCAAACATAACCTATAAGATTTAGCTTTTTATCTCCTCTTTTTCGTAACATGTCTCATTTATTAATATTAATTTATTAATGCAAATTAAACCTAAATTGCCTAATTGCAAAATTTGAATTTTATGGATTTTATATTATTCGAAAAATGACGATGAGTTTCTATTGGTCAATGAAAATTTTATGATGGCGCCTGGAAGTTTCTCAAATGTAACAACGACTACTATTGGCGCTACTTGATAGACTTCCGGTGCATCGCAGCCAATCAGAACCCACTTTAGTAGAGTTACAAATTTCCAACACCAGAGTGCGTGATCCGGTTATTGAAAATATTGAAATAAATTCCGTCATCAGTTTTGCTTCAGCCGTTGAAAGTGAAAGTTGTTCATTTTTGTGTCAAATACAAACGTCTAAAGAAATATACATAAAACGGTAAGTAAATCAATCGAATTATGTGTAATTTCATTAATTATTGTGAAATGAAAAGAGGGACAATGTAGTTTAGACGATATTTAAATATCTTCTATTGCTCTAAATGATGAAATACTCGTGTTCTTAGAATAGCGTCTTTTCACTCAATGTATGTGATTACATCCGCCATTTTGATAATTGTTCATGTTCCCTGTTGTTGGAGGGAAAGCTGTAAAATATTTATCAAAATAATATTCCTCTTTTTATCGCGATACAAATTTGTTGGATTTTATTATAGTGAACAGAAAATTACCAGACATATTATCTTTGTTTTTTTCGAAGGTAAAACGAGGTCAAAATATTGACGATGATAAAAACAACATTCTTGTTAGGAGAGAAAAAAGCGGGATTTCTCTCGTATCGCGTCTATTGACTTGATTGTCCCTCCCAAGTTTTTTTTTCTTATTTTATTTTTTCCGAATTTGTCTAACATGCAATTGTTTATTTCTTGAATTTTATTTTATACTATTTTTTGAAAAATTTTTCTATAATATTGTTTTGTTGACTTTTTTAATTATCTTTTTTTTAATTTTTTAATTACTAAATTTGCTATTAAGAATTATATAAAATTGAAATATTTAAAATTGAATTATTTACAATATTCTAATAAAATGTGGATTTTTCAATTGAGAAAGTCGAAGGATTTGAGATAATGTGTATTTATTTTTCTCTCGTGACCTTGAAACTTTTATTACAAGCAAAAATATTGTTTTTCTGTTAAATTAACATTTCTTCATAAATTGCTATCTTTATTATTCTCGGAATAATAATATTCAGTCTTCTCTTAAATTTACACGATTTTGTTTGATTAATTTTTAATGTAGGAAAGATAATAATTTTTATAAAAGAAATTTCTCTGGTTTTCAAAGTAAAATTTTCATTTTCTTTTATTTATGTTTATATTTTATCAAATTTTGGACTTAAATTTTTGAAATCTAATGGAATATTTATTTTATTTTAGAAATGGCTCGTACTAAGCAGACAGCACGTAAATCAACGGGAGGAAAAGCTCCCCGAAAACAGCTCGCGACAAAGGCAGCACGTAAAAGTGCACCTTCCACCGGAGGAGTAAAGAAACCACATCGTTACAGGTAAATAAATTAAACAAAATATTAAATCTAAAAAAATTCGTCTCTGTTTCACTTTTGTCAAAAATTTTCTTTATTTTCTAAGCAAAGTAGACTAATTAGAATTTTTTTCGCAGGCCCGGAACTGTCGCCCTTCGAGAAATTCGAAGATACCAAAAGTCCACTGAATTGTTGATCAGAAAATTGCCCTTCCAACGATTGGTGCGTGAAATTGCACAGGATTTCAAAACTGATCTTCGTTTCCAAAGTGCGGCAATTGGTGCCCTTCAGGAAGCGTCCGAGGCATACTTGGTGGGTCTCTTCGAAGACACAAATTTGTGCGCTATCCACGCTAAGCGGGTAACCATTATGCCCAAAGATATTCAATTGGCTCGACGAATTCGTGGCGAACGTGCTTAAGTTCTCACCTTTCTTTTTTTTTATTATTATTATTATACAATTTTTATTTTATTGAACATAATTTTTTTGGCAATGTATCACGCGATTTCTTTGCAAAAAAAAATATGTTTTTTTTCTCTGTCCCTCACTGCCAAGCACTCCTTAAAAATTAAACCTAGACAAATTCTTTATTAAAATGCAATATTTGTATAATTAATTTTTCGATAGAGTAGAAATTCTTTCAAGTATCATTTCTTTTAGTGATTTAATTTAATTCAGATTAACGTGGTTCGAGTAAAAGAGAAAATTTAAAAATTGAGTTATTTTTGTACGTTTTTATCTTTTAGAAATAGCTGTTTGTTTAACAAGAGGCTATAATAAAGAATTCTTATAGTTTAAATCAGGCTTTTCTCACAACTGCTTTTTTTAAAGTAGAGAAACTGTTGAATTTTTTTCTCGCTATGAAAGATTAATTCTGATGAATGGAATATTATTAATTCCCTGTCAACGAGTGCGTGAAATGATTGCTCTTTCAATGTGATGAAAAAATCCCCCCTCTCTATAAATTAATAAAGATAAATTGTTTTTGACGTATATTCAAAAATGATTTTTCAGATTAAAAAAATAGAGTATATTTAATGTGTAATTTTATAGACATAGCTTTTAGATAATGTAATAATACTTAGAAAGTGTCAATTTCAAAGTACATTCCATTGAAATTGGACTTTTATTGTATTTTCTAGATGACGTAAATTTGTATTCACACGAAAATTTACGTAATTTCTGTAAGTCTAGAAGCTTTTTCTTCATTATAAATAAAGCTACTTGACTTTATTATGATAAGAAAATGTCTACTTGTAATTTCGTAAATTTTTGTTGTCTAGGTTTAAGACTTGCACTCTTGTAGTTAAGTGTGATTATAGAAATGAGAAGAAGAAGAAAAAATTGCAAGAAATCGAAGGTACAATATGAAAAATGAATAACATTCACTTATTGTTAGTTACAGAATTCATCGTATACAATTAAAAACTCCTTTTTATTTTATATTAATAATGCTAATTAATCCCTAATTCAGCTGTCATCTTGATCTCGTTATTCGTTTTTCATGTATGTTAATTTTTAAAAGATTTTAATTTGCAATAATCGACTACAAGATATCTTGAAAAATGTATTATATATTACTCAAGTATTTACTGTAAAAATTAGCTCATTATTTTTACCTTTGACAAAACCTTCTTGTACTTGTTTCAACTCTGCTGTTGTGAAAATGATTAGTCCTTTTTTTCTTTGAACAAAAAACGAAAAAAAACAAAAAAGTATCTCTAGAAAATAAAAAATTCTCCACGATTTAAAAAAAAAATGTAATACTACATTTGTAAACTATTTAATATCTTTATTATCAAGTCAATAAATCCTGATAAAAGAATATTTCTGTTCTACTGTTTTATTTTACATTTATTTCCTTTTTTCAGAAAAATATTTTTAGACAATAATTAATTATTAATCGTTAATATCGTTAATTAACAATTTTAATTCTTCATGCTTTGTCTCATAACCTAAAAGTGAATTTGAATAATTAGTATAGAAGTAAAATGAGTAAAATTAGTAAACATTTATATAATTTTACATTTCTAGACTCAATAATAATAATGTCCTTTTATAATTTTCAATTCAAGAAAAATTAGAATATAATAAAATAAAAATTACGAAAATTATTTAATGTTTTTAATAAATTTAAGATTTTTTCGAAATTTCGCGCCATGTTTCAATTTTCCTTTATATTGTTTTCTTATCAATAGCTATTTTAATTGCTTTATTTTCAAGCGGATGTAATTAGCGTCTGCCATTACTCATTTTTATTTGGGAAAGTTTAATCGATCGATATCTGTTACCAGCCAGAAATTTATACGTGGATTTTCCTAGACATTGGGTGAAGCCCCTCCCCCTCTAAATGGGGGGGAGGGGAGATGCTTCTGGAATTTTCTAATGCACGATTACAATTACAGTTCCAGGAAATTAAAATTTTGCTTTTTTTCAGTAAACACGGGAAAGACGGTAATTTAGATTAAGTTTGAAAGTCCATTAATTCGGTTGAAATTGTCTTTGAAATTTACTTGATTGGTCAACAACTGTGTATACTATTCAGTGTCTAGGGGGGTATACTGTATAGAGTTTAGTTAGGGTAGGGACAAGGGAGTTATGAATCGGTAGATGAGAGCGGTGAGGAGAGAAGAGCATCCACTGCCATCGAGTACAAGGAATCGTTTGTGTATTACCTCCGTATTTTTCGTGACATATACCTGGAGAAAGGTGAGTAAACAATTTAAAAGTTGCATTATATTTCGTAATATGTGACATTTCATGTGATTAATGTTATTATTGTGTGAAATTTGTGCGAAAAATTGGGAAAATTAGTGGAAAATGTTTGGCTTTTTCGCGGCAAAGCGTTTTGGTGCCATCGCCACCATTTTGTGATTGACGTTATATGTTTGGAGGGAATTATTGTTTGTGGCGGTCGACGTTTACAGATAACAAGAAGCACATGCTGTATTTGTGAAATTGATGGAAATTTTAATGAATTTACGGTGAACATAAGGAGGAAAAATTGTTTTTATTATGTGACGTCGGGAAAATTTGATTATTTAAAGGATTTCGAATTTTCATCCGGAAAAATGTCTCTCTTTCTTTTTTTTTTTTTATAATCATTGCAAGATGAACGAAAGTTTGTGCATTGCGCAACGCGATGGCGTTCCTTGAAGCGCGATTCCGCTGCATAAGTCTTAACCGGGTTTTGACTCCCACCACTTGGATTATTTATCTCCCACTTTGATATTTGTTTACCCTCCCCCCTTTAACTCTTTGTGTCAGAAGAAAGAGCGCAGAATATTTGGGGGGGGGGGTTTACTATAAACTCGCTTGTCTGTGGATCTGATTCTGTGCACCGTGCTTCCCAGTGGGGATTCATTCACCCTGGTTTTATTCTTTTTTTTTTAAATGCTGGATTTTAATTATGTCAAATATGAGTTTTCGGAGAATTTTTCGTTAATTTTTATTCTTTTTTTTGTAGGATAAATCATGGCTCGTACAAAGCAGACTGCCCGTAAATCTACCGGAGGAAAAGCTCCGCGAAAACAGCTCGCGACAAAGGCAGCACGTAAAAGTGCACCTTCCACCGGAGGAGTAAAGAAACCTCATCGTTATAGGTAAAAATTTATCTCTATTTTTTCTGATTATAACCAATTTCTTTGCATCTATTTGAAGGAATTGTTTTTTTATTAAGGAAAAATTTGAAGGAAGGTAAAAACAAAAGTCATAATTTCGTAGGTATTTTAATAGAAAAAAATTAATTTTATATTCATTCTGGTAGAAGGGTAAAGAATTTAATTTTCAACATTTTTAATTTAAACAAATAAAAGCTGCCTTTTAAAAAAAATTACAATTCTGTCATTAAGAAACTGGAGAAAATGACAGGTTAAATTTTAGGTTATGTTGCCTAAAAAGTTTCTTATGTTTCGACTTTTTTTATTGAAAAAATTGTAATTTTTATTCAAATGCAATTTTAAATAGTTTAAAATGTCAAAAAATAAATTTTTTAAGCTTCTACCACAACAAATTTAAAATTAAATTATTTACTTTTTCTTCTAAAACACGAAATTATGACATTTGTCTAACTTTTATTCCGATTATTTGTCGAATTCTTCCTTAAGAAATAATTTTACATTTCCATGAAAGAATTTTCAATTTTCATTTAATTTAATAAACTTCATTCATTTATTCAATTTAATTTTTTAATTGTTTCATTAAATTTGTAATTATTGTATTTTATTCTATTGAATTATTGTACTAATTTTCACTAAATTCTTACAGGCCCGGAACTGTCGCCCTTCGAGAAATCCGAAGATACCAAAAATCCACTGAATTGTTGATCAGAAAATTGCCCTTCCAGCGATTGGTTCGTGAAATTGCACAGGATTTCAAAACTGATCTTCGTTTCCAAAGTGCGGCAATTGGTGCCCTTCAGGAGGCGTCCGAAGCATACTTGGTGGGTCTCTTCGAAGACACAAATTTGTGCGCTATTCACGCCAAGCGAGTAACAATTATGCCGAAAGACATCCAATTGGCTCGACGAATTCGTGGCGAGCGTGCTTAAGCAGCCTAATTATCTTACAATTAACGATTACTATAACCTTTTAATCAATATTGTTTCGTTGCATTTCACTATCAAGCAGAAAATCGTATAGCAAATCATAAAAATTAGATACGTAGATATTCACAAAAAAATAGCTTTCTATAAAAGAAAAAAAAATGATAGAATCTCTTTGATTAATAATTCTTTATTCTCATTAAGCCCTTTTAGAATCTCATTATGACAGTAAAAAAAAATTTGTCTTTTTTTTATTCATCAATCAAGTATAAATTTAAGTTTAAAGTAGTGTCGATTGACAAAAAATTAGATCATAAAACACATTTTTTTTGATAAGATTTGTGATACGACAAATAATTTTCTAAACGTTTCGAAAGAATTTGTAAAAAAATTGAAGTGAAATTCACAAAAAGGGTGTTTTCAATTTCTGTATTTGTTTTCTTTTTCATCATCTGACAATTTCTTCAAGTCATATTCATTCCTCTTCTTTTTCTCATTGCTCATCGTTCTTATAATTGTACTTGTAACTATATAAACAATAGTGAGTTCTGTTAGATAATAAGATATGTTTCCTAAAGCTTGACCCAATAGTTGAAAAGAAAAGAATGTAACTCGAACACCTGGTTGCAAGAAAATTATGTTTAGTTGACTCTGGGATTTTCCTAGTTTTTGTGTAACAAAACCCTCCCCCAATAATTTCTTAAATAAATATTAAGCACAGAACACTTTTGTGTTTTTATTGTCTTCTTCTTTTTTATTATCTTATTTTTTCAGGGTTGTCGATTGTTTCATTTCTTTTTTTTTTAGTAGGAATTTTTAGGATTTTTTATAAGAAAAACAAGGTTTTCGTAATTTTGCAATTTTTATTTATTTTATAAATGATTCAATTTAACATATACATAACTAGTCTGCTGGAGCAAATTTTCCTACATAATTTAATGACAATACATTTTGTTTAATTCAGATTATATCACAATTTGGCTACTAATTTTTTAATACTCGGTATGAGCCAATTATATTTTCATTAGCAACAAAACTATATAAATTGTATTGAATTTTATACTTGAGGTATTTTCTGAGTAGTCAATACATGAAGCCATTTAGGTCGAAAATTTTAATATTGATTGAATATATATTTTTTTTCTTATAAAGTATATATAATATAGTATATTTTCTTTATTTCAAGAAAACAATTTCGTTCGAACGAAAAATAATCTCTTAAAATTACTAATTTAGTAATAGTGAAAAATTTTTCCATGAAATTTTATACGAATTAAAAAAAAATTAATTTAGAAAATAAGAATTAATAACTAAAATTAAATCTCTCTTTCTCTTAAATTTTAAATTATTTATTGATAAATAAATTATGTAAATATTTAGAAAATTAGAGATTTAATTTTGAAATTAAATTCAATTTCTCAGGAAAACTAATGAAAATTATCTAAAGCAACAAAATTGAAAGAAAATGTCAAAGAAAAATAATTCGACAATTAGAGAAATTATAAATATCCGTGGAACTTAATTTTCTAGAATAAATACAATTTTTCTGAACAAAAACGATGAAAATTGGCAATAATTAAAATAATTTATTATTAAATTAAAAAATTTTAATCTCTGCTTAAAAAAAGGAGAAGTATTTTCTCTATATTAAAAAGTCGGTTCTTTATATTGTATATATGAAAATGGTAATTAATTACTGATTGTTTCATGAATCATCAAGTTTTAAAGGCCCTTATAATTAAAATTTGCTTTGGAATTAATTAGTATACTTGAAAAAAATTCCTGGAAATATGAAGAATTTTCTTTTTCTAAACTACTATTATATAATATAATTTTGAATTATAAAAACTTATTTTCCGTTGTACATTTTGATATTTCAGTTTGTAACAAAAAAAAAATCGAGTAGGATCAAACTCTCACAGTTTAAAAAATATTCAGTCATTCATTGTAAAAATACTTCATTCTTCTTTTTTTGGTCTCATTCTAAATAAATTTTCCTGTTGTTCATTATGACTTTACCTCCATTATAAAAATTTATTTTTCTCTTCGTATTAATATGAGAAACATATTTTTTTATTATATTAAATAATAAACATTAATATTCTTCTACAAAACTTGAAAATTGATGAATATGATTTTTTTGGGGACGTTTCATAAATATAAATATATATCTACAACACGAAAACAATATTAATTCTAAAAATTTACAAACATCTTGGTCTTTATAAATAAAAGCTTAATTTATATTTACAAAAAATTCTACTCGTTTACTGACTTAAAAATTTTACAAAAGAAAAAAACACGCACAAAATGACAGAGTTCTTGAAAAAAATTTTTTTAATTCAGGAATTTTCTCCGAACAATGAAAAGAAAAATTCTATTCTCTTTTCTAATTTATTATATTAAAATTAAAAAGAAAAAATTTCCCGATACAAGTTTAAAAAAAAATTGTCTTGTTTTAAAATTGAAAAATTTGAAAACTTACAATTTGTAAAAAACTAGGAAAATTGTTTCTAGATATTCATCTTTGCAGAGAAAGAGAAATTTTATAAAAGTATCAATATTCCTAAATATGAATATTAATTCTTTTATTGTACAATAAAAATTGGGAAATTGTATTATTTTTTGTAACACATTAGGCAGAGAATTTCAGTCACGATGGATAAATAGAGAGTATAGTTTTTTTCTTGTTAATACAAGATCGTCATTTCAAGTAAAATAATTATCCTTTGTTTAGTGATGACTATAGAAATGAAAAATAGAAAAAAAACCTAACACAAGATGCTGTATATGAAAAAAAAAATATTTCTATCTCACATTTCTTTCGTAGTTGCTTTACAATCGAATATGATTGTTGTTGCCTGTTGCTAAGCCTCGAACTTGTCTTCTTGTCCTAAATTTGAACAAAACGCAATAATAGTTTACAATAAAAAATCAGTCCGCAAAATATAAGCATTTGATTTTTTTTTCAACGATTCACAAAACACATAAAAATAAAAATACATCATGCGAATGCAGAAAATAATTTCTTTTTCTGTCTTGAGATAAAATTTGAAATATTTTCTACTTATAATATATTAAAATTATTATAGAAGAATTAAAATTAAAATCTAATGAAATTAATTTTAAATTTAATATTAAAAATTAAAACGTATTTTTTCTCAGACAGAATAATTTGAGAAAAAAATAAAAATTTCTGGCAGAATACTTTATTTTTGAATAAAAACAAAAAAAAGCGTTTATAAAAAAATTTGTAAATTCTTTAAATATAACATAAAAAGAAATTTAAAGAATTTATAATTAAAATTCTTTTCTAATCTTTTCATTTCTACAAACAATCTTTTTGAGTCTTCAGTCTTATCGCGTAGTCTGAGAAAATATTGTTTAATCGAAAGCCCTCGCATTATTGTGTAATAAAAAAAAATTACATTACTCAAATGTATTTTACTATTACAAAAGAGAAAAATTACAAAAGAGAAAAATTACAAAACAAAGAAATACAAGCACATTGACAAAATAAGAAACATTTATTTCAAATAATAATCGTCGATCACAAAAAAAAAATCTTAGACTCAATCCAAGATATTTCTTAAAAATTAAAATATTTTTGAAAGTACATTTAATTTTTTGCAATTGTTTAACAATTTTAAAGCGCGAATTAAATTATTAATTAATAATATTAATTAGTTAAATAAATAAAAGATGTTTTGATTCTTCTGTTTAATTAATTAAGTAATATTAATTAATAATGATTTATTAATTAATAAAGAAGATAAATTAAGGTCAATAATAATAATTGTCAATATCTAAGAAATTAGACATTTAATTATTTTTATTAACTAATATTTTTAATAAATTAAAATAATAATAGGCCGTCTGGTAAATTAAAAATTTTTAGAATATAAAATGAAACATATAATAAAAAAATGAGGCAGTTTAAGCAATTTAAATAATTTACAATTATTAAATTTTCTAAATTTGCAAAATTATGTTAATGAAATAAATTAAAATTGTACTCGTGAACAGGTGAATTGCACTATTTATACCAACATTTTTGGAATGTACACTGGATTTAAATATTTATGTTTATAAAATCCCGACAGAAAGTATTTTTTGAACAAAGAAATTAAATTTTGTTTGAAATTTATGTAGTAAAATAAAAAGTCTCATTGTTTAAGTTTGATTTATTTAATTAAATTTAATAATTTCATTTATTGAATTATTAAATTTAATTTAATAATTTCATTTATTAAATTATTTAATTTAATTTAATAATTTCATTTATTAAATTATTAAATTAAATTTAATAATTTCATTTATTATTTATTAAATTTAATAATTTCATTTATTATTTATTAAATTTAATAATTTAGGCAACAATTAATTTTTTTTACTTCCTATCTGGATTCTTGTTCGTTACTCGTTATAATCATAATATGTTTATAATGCATAATGATAATGTCAGAAAAAATGTGGTGCATATTAAATATAAATTTAATTTTCCAAATGGATAACAGTTGAAAATTTGATAAACTGTATTTTCCAGTGAATTAATGTCATAAATGACTGTCGCTTTATAATTTTCTTTACAGGAGAGTAAAATTACTTTAAATGGAAAATTTTTATATATATAAATATTAATTTAAATCTACGTAATAAAAGCCAATTTTGATAAAATTTTCAATAAACGTCGAGAATAGAAAATTCTATTTTTTACATTATTTTATTTTTATTTACTATGTATTTTCTTTTTTTTCTTTTCCTTTTTTTATTTATTTTAAATTTGCATTTTTTTAAAAACTAATGAAGTTAAAAATTACATTTTTTAAAAAAAAGAAAATATTTAAAAAATATTTTTTGTAAATAGAAGCATAAAAAATACTCTCTGAAGAAAAGAGAATTATAAAGAATTATAAAAAAATGACAATGTTCTAGTAATAAATAAAATTTTTAACTTTCTTGAGAGAAAGATTATAGAGGCTTGTCGAAGAAGTGTTTCTTGTTATTTTATCAAATTAAAAATAAACTATTTAAACGAAAGCACTGATTTTATTTTTTCTATCGTTTCTTGGGTTCAAAAAATTTTTTTTCGACTCATTAATTTACTTTAAAAATCAATCATAAAATCACAAAAAGTCAATACAAATAAATAAATGTAAAAAAAATGTAAATTTTAGTTAAAATTAAGTTTTAATTATTAAAAACTTGATTATTTCATTTTGAAACATTGAAAAGTTATTTTTCATTAATTATTATATCAAAAGTTTGTATAAAAATTAATATCAGTAAAATTTCCATCATATTTTTATTTATATTCATTTATTGTTTTTATTTATATTCATGTATTATTTATATTAATTTATTTTTATTTATATTTATTTATATTATCGAAATAAAATTCTTCCTTACATAAAAAATAAATTTTTTTTTACAAAATCAATGCTTTCGATTAAAATAAAAATTTGACTACTAATTATACAAAATAATCTAAAAATAGTGATAATCACTAATGAAGAGGAAGCACTATGACTGTTCTATACACATAATAAAAGCAAAAGAAAAAAAAATAACGATAAAACGTCTCGACAAGCGATGTATGCGCACTTTTACAAATAATTTGCTTAAAAATGAAGCGTTTCAAACGCGTTAATTACTGATAATTTACAATCACAGAAACATGCATCGAGGATGATTAACAAAATTTACAATATTCTTTTTTTTTCTCTCCACACGAACACGACAGAGTTAAAAGGACGACACAATCCTAATAAATTAGTTCGTATTTATTAAGCGTTACCTGTAGAGATCCCGAACTGCTTGATCCTCCCGTGAAGCATTACGACAAGTATTTATTTTATTCTCCAATGCCTGAAAAAATTGTTAAATTCGTTAATATCGTAACTTTGCAAAATAATTTTTCTTCAGCATAATTACAATTTCATTGTGTTCGTCACTATATCAGATTATTTTATAATTTCAGGAAAATTAATGTGAAATAGACAAAAAAAAATTGTTTACGTGAAATTTGAATATTATAATAATTAGGTAAAAAAATAATTAAGATGACCACGTTTATCCAATTGTTAGTTTGCCAAAAATTTCAATTTTTGCGAGAGAAATAATTTTTTTAAATAAAATGTGATTAGATTTTTTTTTTTTAAGGACGATAACAAACGAAAAATAATGGAATAGACAAAAATAATAGAAAGCAGAGAATTTTTTTCTTTTGGAATTTGAAAAGAAGCAGCAAAACATCATGCAAACATAAGAGAAAACGAAAATGAAAAAAACCTGCTTCGAAGGAGATTGGGAGGGTGGTCGTAGTGCAAACGGTCAGCTTTTTGTTGGTTTGGGTTGTTGTCTGATACATTGAAGCGATGCATCTAATTGAATTGATTGTGGTTTATCAGTAGTTGTTGATTGTGGATACGTCTTTTTTCCACTTGGACATGAGCACTTCACCCTCCTACAGTCTATACAGACCCACCTGTCAAGCTACCAAAACACGAACTACATCACACCAACTACTAAAATATTTTTTTTTAAATAACGTTCACAAAAAAAAACAAAAAGGGAAGAAAATGTACGTATTCAATTTCTCTGGGAATTTTCTCAACAATTGACGATTACTGAAAAGATACTATTTATTAATAGGTTTTCAAATAATACGTGGGTCACAAAAATATTAAACGAGAACAATACAAATACAAATATTAGTTGAAAACTTTGATAAAAAAAAAATCGATAGGTAGAGATTTTTTTGGTACCAAAAATAAACTTTTTTTTACACAAAAATTTGATTTTAAACATAGATATACGTGGTCATATTCAGTGATGGGCCAACAAACCATTTAAATAGTAATTTTATTTTTTTTTTGGAAAATTTAAAGAAAGTAAAAAAATGTGTAGTTAATTTTTTACTATTGTAATTAAGTGTAGTCGTAATAATCTAATATAATAATTTTATTTAATTCAATGTTAAAATAAAGAATAATTATAATTCATCTTCTTTTTTTTTAAATGAAATCAATTTTCATATTTTTTTCAATATTTATTTTCTCCGAGTATAGAATTTCAGGGATCACAGTGAATTTTTCGTGTAATATTCGGTAAAATAAGGAGATTTTAATTTCAAAAAAGGGGATAAAGTTTAAAAAAAAGAGAAATTTTCAAATTAAGAAAAAAATTATTTTTTAGTGTAGCTATAAAATTTGTTTATAAAAGATTTTTTTATTTACAACTCTACTTTTTTTTAAATTCTATGAATTTTTGCAGAATCCGAAGTTTTGCAGTAAAAGAAATTAGTAATATAAAAATAATAAAAATACTATTCCAGGAAAATTTTAATAATGTATAATCTATTATTAACAGATTTTTCTATTTAAATGTTTGAATTTTAAAATCATTAAATCCTTGCAAGAAATTTTTTAAAAATTTGAAAATAATTGAATTCCTTTAAAGGATTTTATCAAAATTTTTGAAAATAATTGAATTCTGACAAAGAATTTTATTATTTATGAAAATAATCTAATTTTTTTCATAGAATGTTATTAATATTTTTGAAATTAATTGAATTGTTCTGAAGAATTAATTTAAATATTTTAAATAATTTTTATTGTAAATTTTGAATGCAGTTGATTTTTATGAAGAATTTATTTATAATTTTTTTAAACAAAATCATATTCATTAATAATGTAATTAATAATTTTTAAAAAATTATTTACACAAAATTAAATACATTTAAACAATTTCAATTAAAATTTTTTAAAATAATTGAATTCCTGAAAAGAAATTTATTATTTATAAAAATAATTGAATCGTTTCGAAGAATTTTATCAAAATTTTATAAAAATAATTCAATTTCTTACAAGGATTTTATTATTCATCAGAATAATTGAATTCTTGCAAAGAGTTTTATCAAAATTATAGGAAATAATTGAATTCCTAAACGTAGAAATTTATTATTTATAAAAATAATTGAGTCGTTTCGGGAATTTTATCAGAATTTTTGGAAATAATTTAATTTCTGAGAAGAATTTTATTACTTATAAGAATAATTGAATTTTTGCAAAGAATTTTATCAAAATTTTAAAAATAATTGAATTCCTGAGAAAAATTTTATTATTTACAAAAATAATTGAATTCTTGCGAAATTGTTATATAAAAATTAACTTAAAAAATGGTATAATTTCCTATTAAAAATCCTTATTTCTAGAGTAAATTTAAATAAAAATTAGTATAGTATATTTTCAATTTAGTAAAATTTATTCTGAAAATAATGTAAAAATATTTTTAAATTTCAGAAATTCAATATAAAAATATAAAAATTAAAGAGAATTTAGTTGTTTTAGTGGATTTTATGAATTTAAAAGAAATAAAAAAGAAGAAAAAAAAGGAAAAAAGGAGACTGTGATTCCTGGAGTTTTAATTGTCCAGTTAATAATGTTTCTTTTTCTATAAATAATAAATGCGGCCCATCTCTGATATAAAAAACTAAGGAGACTGTACGTGCCTATTACGAAAGAATATTATTAAATGTTTAGATAATAAAAAAAGATAAATTCATTATACTCACCCCAACTTTTCTCATGAGGTCACCAATCATGTTCATGGCTAATATTCTCGTGCACGGTGCCAAGGGGGGATTCATGTTGTTATTATTGTTGTTGCCAATCACTCCCCCCACGCCATTTGCAACTAATACCAAATACGATAAATTAATTACATGAAATTTACCCATTAAGCAAAGAAAAAGTTTCTCCGGAAACTTCTTTTACTATTCAATCAATTTTTAATCCTGAGAAACTTTTTTCGACAAAAAAAAATAAATTTTTGTATGAGTTATTAATTTTATAATAATTATGATTATTAATTCACAATTTGTGTAATAATAAAAAAGGCTTTTTATTCTCACACAAATTATTATTTGACGACAATCAACAAGAAGGATATTATATTAATTTATAATGTTAGTTATTGTAGTTAAATTAATCACTGTAGTTATTATACTAAAATAAAAATTGTAATCTTTTGATCAATAATTAAAATTTAATTAAGTTAAAGTAAGATAATTGATAATTAATAATTAAATAAAAGAAAATATAAAAAAATCGTATTTTATGAAAAACGTCTTTATTCAAATGTCATAAATAATAATTAACAAAAATAGAAAATAATTTGGAACTTAAATTGGAAACAAGTCATCAGCGAATTGTTTTTTCTTTTCTACGACAAAAAAAGACGTATACATAATGACGAAGATTTACTGTACAATTACAATAAAAATGTGAAAAAAAATATTAATAATAATAATTCCTAATATTCACGAGGGAATTGAAAATTTTCAATTGATGACGAGTTACTCAAGTTTGTTGAAGAAGATCTTTTCATTGAATTTTGACACTCGTCTATTAATTTTGTGGCAGTTAATTTTGACGATGAAAATCGTCTTTTTGTAATGTGTGTTAATAAAACCTTTGTTCTACGTAAGACAGAGTTGATCTTACTCTTAGTTTGTGGCGTTGTTGAATTGACGGTTGGCGTTAAATTTTGTGTCACAATTGGACTCGAGGGCGGTGTATGCGACTCAAGTTCAACTTGAAGTTTATTGCTGTCAACGTGATTGCGAACACGATCAGCTGCTGATTTATCATTGTCCGGCTGTCGTCTCTCCTGTACTTGTATTTCTTGTTTTAAATCTATAGAAAAGCAAAGAAAAAAAACAAATAAATACATTAAATTGTCTTTTCTTCAATTTACATAATTACAAAAAGAAAAATACCTCTAATTTCGTCCATAAGTCTCTGTACAATTACTTTTAATCCATCCTTCTCGTCTAATTCGGATTCTAGAAGTGCATTTTTTTCTATTTCGAGATTAAATTTCGCCTCGAATTCCTCTTCTGTTGCTTTACTTATTCTAGTGGGAGAAAATATATTATTTAAGAAGGAAATTTATAATATTTAAATTGTATATCTGGTTAATTTGAAGAAATCAATTGTTTTGAATTGTTTCTTTGATTAAAAAATGAATTTTCCTCAAGTACAAAAAAAATTTATTTAATTCAACAATTTCTTATTTGAAGAACAAATTTCTTCGATTAAAAAAAATTTGTTCAAAAGACAGACAAATTGTTTAAAACAAAGAAAATTTCTTTAATTCAAAAAACCTCTTTTTGTTTAAAAGAAAAATTTATTCTTGAATGAAATAAAAGTAGTGTAAGAAACTGATTTTTCAAAATTACCAAAAAACTTTTTCTGCATTTACTTGAAAAAAATTATGTACCTGTGTGCTCTTTCAAGATCATCATTTTTTTGCTCTATTTCACGGATATATTTGAGTTGTTGTTCTTGAATAATTTGTAGTTCCTGAGCTCGAGTTTGAAACATGGCACAATCAGTAGCTTGCTGATCTTGACGAACCCTCAATTGTTCATTTTCATTATCCAACCTGGAATTTCTTTGCTGCAATTCACGAATAGTTTTTTCTGCCTGCTCCAAGGACGTTTCCAGTTCCTTCTCCAACATTTGTGAATTTTCTTGGAATTCCTCCAGTTCACGTTCAACATCTTCCTTTCTAAAAATTTTTTTATCATTACACAATATATTATGACCTTGTCAATTCGAAAAATATGAAAAAGACAATAAAATTGAATTTGTTTTTAGGTTAAAAAATAAAAATTTTACCTTTGATACATTTGATGGGCAAGGTCCATCCAAAATTGGATTTCCTCATCCTTACTGGAAAAGTCCGGAGTGTCGATATCCATCATTTTTTTATACGATTTCTACGCTCACACTTTTTTTCAGTCTTAAATATTGTAGTTTGCCGAATGGCTTCGTTAACTATAATCACTCACTCATGTAAACTACAAGAAACTTTCTTCTCATGATCCACAGGACATTTTCTACAAGCAAAAAAAGAATTTGACACTTATATAAAAAAAACTGTCAAAACATTCAATAGCCGTTACTTTTGTCGATCACATTTTTCTCAACCTAATGCTTTTCTAAATTTTACTATTCTTTTTTTAAAAAACACAGAAACAAATATAATTTCACCGACAAAAATGAGATATCTTGAAAAATATGATAAATACAATGATGTTGATCAGTGCGAATGAAAAATTGAGATTATCAAGTATAAATAATTAAATAATATAAATATTCTTGATAAACTGCGTAGGAGTGATATCTATTGGGGAAGGACACGTGTGTCATAAATGTCATTAATTAATTCAAGTCCTCGATTATTGTTGAGGCTATGATTTTTCACGTAATAAGACATTGGAGTGCCTTCCATTTGTGACGCGTCAAAAGTATAAAATTCTTTTTCTCCTCGTTATTTTAAGTATGCTGATGAATAACACATTTCGCGTGATGATTATTAAAATGCGCACACGAAATAACACTGAGAAAATACACTTACGTTAAAGATCACAAGTTGTTCCTAATTAAGAATATGGTACGAACAACAAAAACAGTATTATAGAACTTGTGAAATCGTTTGATGGGAATAATAAAAAGCTGCTCTCTCAGCATCAACTCAGTCCACTTTCCTCGGATTGGATTGCGTTACGATCAATTGTAATTATTTTAATCTGACGTCATCTTCCGTCGATAAAGTCCAATTCTGAATTTACCATTTGGAAATAACGAAAGAAGAAAAAATTGTTTATTCATGAAAATTATCAATGTTTAGGAAAAATTGCAACAATTTTCCTATAATTTGAAATTTAATAATTAAATACGGGGTTAATAACCGTAGACTCATATTTAAACATTACTATGGATTTAAATTCTAACGATTTTTTTTAAATTTACACCAGATGTCACTTCTTTGGTTTTCTTCGTTTGGCGCGAAATTTCGAATTTAATTTATTAGAAAAACGAAATAATAATTGAAAATAGTTAAAATATCTTTTTCTTTTTGTATAAAAAAAGATTAAAAAAGTAATATTTAATAAAGATTAGAAAACAAAATTAAAGAATTATTTAAATTTACATAAATTCATGAATTTATGAACGTGAAAACAAAAAATTTTTCTATTTAAGTTCAGGTAAAGAGAAAATAAAAATTAAAAGACGAGTATTTAAAATTTTTTTTGCGTTTATTGTTAATCATACAAAATATGATTTTATTGAGCCGCAGCTGGTGTAGGAGCAGCGGTTGCAGCTTGTTCCTCGCGGATGCGATCCTTCTTAAGTTGACCCATGAAGGAGGCCTTATCGGCAGCAGTTTGGAAGCGACCGTGTCCAAATTTGGAGCTGGTGTCGATGAATTTAAGGTTGATCTTCTCGAGAGCCGCTCGTTTCGTGTGAACCAAGAGGGACTGAAATTTCAAATATATTCTCATTAAAAATCTTATCGAATAAATTTAATAATCTTCAAAAATATGAAAAATATTTGTCAGCCCTATCATTTAATATCACAAAATTGTTTCATAAAGAATACTTTTTGGCTCTATTCTAGGTTCATCATGTTGGAAAATCTTAAATTTCAATTTTATTTAAAAATAAGTGACGCGCTCCGAATAAAGGTTCCTGAATTTTATTTTCATCTTTATTACAATTTTCTAAATTTCAAACTAAAACCAGTTTTTTATTAATTCAGATCTAATGAAGAAGAAAATCATCAGTGGTTTATAAATTGAGAATTGATCTTTACTTATTACGAAGAATACAAACATCTACAATTTTTTGTATGTAATTTTCTTCGGAGAACGTCACAATTAAAAAAATTTTCTATTGATTTAGTTTTATGGAATTTTATAGAAACTTTCAGCGTTTTTAAAAGTAGCGAATTTAACATCCTTTTTGTAAAATTCATACTTTTAAAGACATTTTATGTAAGTTTCAGTTTCTATAAAATTCCATAACAAAACTGTAAATCTAGAGAAATAATAAAATTTTAATAGATTCTTACCTTGCGAAGAGTGAGAACACGCTTCTTGGGTCCGACACAACATCCTTTGATCATGATGAAATCGTTATTGACTTCTCCATAATGAGGGAAACCACCCATTGGAGTGATTGATTTCTCCGTGAGATCGTATTCAGTGGATGCATTGTTCTTGACAATCTAAAAAATTACAATGATTTCAATTTAATTACAAGCAGTAAAAAAGACTTTCTATTTATTTAGAAATAATTGTTTATTTAGAAATATTTACTTAGTTGGAAAAAATTACTTATTTAGAAAAGAAACCTTTTTTTAAACAAAAAATAATGTTGCTAGCTCGGGAGTCCCAATCAACATTGAAAAATCGTCAGGAACTATTTACGAGCCATTTTACTTTCGCCTCTGAATGGATTATTTAAATTACATCTTTCAAAGGAAATATTGCAAAAGATCAATTTAAAGTGAGGCTCACTTTTTGAAAATGGACTAAAATTATTTATTCTCGTTTTTTATTTCTCACCTTTCCATCCTTGGTGTGAATTCCCTGTCCAATTCTGTAGATTTTCTTGTTCATTTCGGTACGATGGTGATAACCTTTTTGACCAGCGCGAGCAACAGTGAATGATACTCGACTTGGATGCCATGCTCCGATACAAGCAACCTTCCTCAAACCCTTATGCGTCTTCCTGGGAAGTTTCTTTGTATGCCAACGGGAAGTGACACCTGTAAAGAAAAAGAAATTAATTTTTGTTCCGAAAATATGTACAAAAATATAAAATTCAAGTAATTTTAGATTCAAGAGCTTTTGAGAAGCAAATGAAAGGACGTCAGTAGGAAGGCAGCATGGTGTTCACATCAGAGTCATCAGACAATGCACACATCATGTTTTTTCATCATAAAGTCCAAAATGGGTAAAAGTTTAATCAATTTTTCGAGAGAAGAAATATCTCGTTACCTTTGTATCCCTTTCCCTTGGTGACACCAATAACGTCGATCATTTCATCGGGACTGAACACATTTGTTACTGGAATTGGTTTTTCCAAGTGTTCACGTGCCCATTGAACCTTCTGCTCGATGGTTCCACCGTTCAACTGGATTTCCATAATGTGCGCTTTCTTTTGTCTTTGTCTCAAGAGTTTCATCTGAAAGAGAATAATTTTATTTTTAACTACGGTCGATATTAATAAACAAAATATTTTTTGAAATTAAAAATTGCTTTTGATTATTAATAACTGTGCCAGACATGGTTTATCTCATTGCCATTGTCCAATGGACTACAACAAGTTTAAGGAATATGTCGTGCTCTCATCACTCCCACTTTCGCAGGGGACAAAAATTGATTTTCGACGCTGCAGTTAGGAATATACCGCACAATATCAAACAGCTCCGCAACCGCTACCAGAGTCAGACTAGAATATTGCTACTCCTATCCAACAATGGTAAAAGCGTCGATTTTGTTATTATTATTATTAGAATTTTATTAATAATAAAAAAATAATTTACCTGCGTATGAGCAATAACGCGCACAACTTTGCAGTACTTGACAATTTTTTTCAAGTCCTTCTCGATGGATTTGCGACCGAGATCATCTTGCCACTTCTTCGAGGCCTTGGAGAAAGCCTTCTTCTTACTCTTGTACCTGTAAAGATAAATTAACCCCGTCTTTGTTTTATGTCCCTAACTGAATACCAGAGTGTCCAGAGAGTCATAATCAATATTCTCTAAATCTTTCCGTAAATTACAACAAAATTATCTTCCATAATTATAATTTTTTAAATTAAAACATTAAAAAACAAAAATTGCACTCAAATCGATTTTTGATAAGTTGATAATTAATTAAGTAACTTCAATTATCGAATTGCTTCAATTTTAGGAAAAATGATCTTTGACTATAAAGCATTTCGCTTAATAATTGCGTATTGTTTAAAATATTTTGCTTAATAATTGCTTTTTTGTTTTAAACTAATTAACATAATGTAAATAATTGAATAAAACAATTGTGTAAAAAAAAGATGGTTGAATATAAAAGTTGTTTTTTACCTAAAACTCCCCAGACCACTGCACACCCTGGAAAATGCGCTGGTTTCATCTTAAAGAGCGGAAACCAAACGCAATATTGGAATAGCCCAAAATAAAAGTCAAAGCTCTCATGGCAATTTCCAATGTTACTCTCATCTTTAGAGCGGAGAGATCAACATTAGGGTTTGTTAAAAAGATATTCCCCAAAGAAATATTCAATTTTTTGTTCAAACGGTTCATTTTGTAGTTATGAACGCAAATGAAACTAGTAAATTTCTTACCAATTTTTGTAAAATCGTCTACGACAATCTTCAGACAAATGTTCGGCCCAAACGGTGGTGAGAGCGCGAAGACCATGTGGTGTTTCGATATAGCCAACAACACCGACAACAACCATTGGTGGAGTTTCTAAAATTGTAACTGCCTCGACAATTTCCTTCTTGTTGACCTCTGTAAAATAAAAACACTTTCGTTAATACAGAACTAAAAGTTCTTACTCGCAGTGATCGATATTAGCAACTTTCGTATTAAAAATAAAATTTTTTGTAAACACTTAAAAATAGAAAATAATTTAAAAAATTATAATAGAATATAATTACAAAAATTAGGATAAAATATAATTGTCACAGTTAAATATAAATTAGAAAACGAAAAGAAAAATTGTGCCCGACATGGTTTATCTCATTGATTAAGGCCCAATGGACTACAACAAGTTTCAGGAATATGTCGTGCTCTCATCACTTCCACAAAAGTGGTGGACAAAATTTCTTTTCGACACCGCAGATAAGAATATACCGCACAAAAATCAAGCAGCTCCAAAAACTGCTGCTAATTCTCGACTAGTGTATTGCTACACCTATCAAAAATTAGCAAAAGCATCGATATTTTCAATTTTTCCCTTTTTTACTCAAATAATACTAGCAAACAATAAATAATTCAAACAAACTTCAATTAAATTAGAATCGACTTCAATTAAATCAGAATTTAATTCAAATGAATCAGAATTGAGTTCAAATAAATCAGAATTAAATCGAATTAAATTCAATAAATTAGAATTGAATTAATTTTTTTTTTAAAAAATCAGTCAAAAGGAATAATTGAACTTACTGGAACCAGGTCTGTCGGCTTCCCTCACAACGTGGGTCATGCCAGCTTTGTAGGCAATGTATGCCGTTAAATGCACAGGCTTGTTAGGATCATCCTTGGGGAAGGCCTTTACTTTACCGCGATGACGCCTTGACCTCTTCTTGGGATAGAATCCCATAGACCCATGTCTAGGAGCGCTGAATTTTCTGTGCGACTGAAAGCAAAAAAAAACTCAAATTATAAAAATTGCAAACATGTGGCGTCAGAAATTTTTTATTAAATTTCATAAAACATTTCAGACCGCCCTAGAATAATATCTTCATGGTTAATCAGTAAAAACCATAAACTTTAATTATCTAAATCATCATTTTGTAGGAGAAAATTAATATTAATCATCACGTGGCAATATATAAAAGAAACTTCGAATTTGAGGTTAGCTTCGCACCAAGTAGAAAATTTACCATAAAATGAAGAATTATTGGAAAAATATTTACACCACTATATACAACGTGATAGTTAATAGTAATTTTTGAAATTAATGTTGAAAAATAAGGAGAGATGCAATAAATAAAAGAGGATTTTAAAACAAATATTAACACACTACATACCATTGCGCTATCCTACAAGAAAATGGAGGAATTCGTCTGGTGACGTTTGCTTTTATGCCGCAATGGCGTCTCTACACGTGTACCAACTTAATAGCTAGTGGAATAATTCTTACCAACATAACCTAGAGAATAATTCGAAATACCATGAAATACTTTTGAAAATATCAAAAAAATTAAAGAAAAGTAATAAGAAAAATTCAAAAAACGTTAATAAGCGTTATTTTTTTTACCCAAGAAAATATTTCAAATAAAACAAGGAAAAAGTTTGAATTATTTAGAATTGCACTTGAGTATGAGCAGTGAAAGAAATAGTTTGAAAATTGACATAAAGAGTGCGTAATTATCGGTCAAATTTTATCGTCCGCTGGAGAGAAACTAAAATTTTGGAGTAAAATTTATTTTTTCCGAGTAATTTGTTTGATAATTTTGTAAATAAAAATGGTTCGTGAGAAAAGTTCAGTAGAACTTATAACAGATTTCTTTTATAACTTTATGGACGTTCCTGTAACGTTTTTTCGAGGTATTATCTAATCAGTTTTTATAGGTTATATTAAAGTGACCCTTATTATTAATTTGTCAAACATATTTTTATTATAATGTACATAATAGTAAAAAGAATTTATTTGAAAAAAAATATACATATTTATATATAATGCACAATTATCTATAAATATAGATAATAATCTTATTACTGCACATGAAAATAACGTACAGCAATTATATAGATACTTTCGCAATTCTTGAAAAGATAAAATTCTATTTTTTTACAACTTACTATAATTCTTTTCCTCCAACTTTATTGATTGGCTTTTTTTGTACAATTTTATTGATGTTAAATTTATTTTTTCTGTATTATCTTTTTTCTACTTTAATGTCAGGCAAAATATTTTAACACAATTTTTCTTTGACAGAGAAAATCGTTGAACCAAATCAACAAAAATATCCTTGGTACCATCAAAAGTATCGACGAGTTCCAACTGTCGATCAATGTTACACAGATGATCGTGTTTGTATATTTGAAGCTGATGAACAATTTCGAAGAGATAGGCAAGCATTTAATTATGAATTAAGAAAAGTTCTTAAAGGCCTCCTGAATGCTCCTATTCCTTCTTGTAATATCGTTTCCTAGATCCAAAACCTTTAAATCTCCAAATAGGTACACAATTGTCAATATAGAAATTTGCCACTTTTTATTTTAATCGCATTATTTTATTTAGAAATTAAATTAAATAATTTAATTTAGAAATTAAATTAAATCACTTAATTTAGAAATTAAATTAATTGACTTAATTAAAAAATTAAATGAATTCATTTCAGAGAAATTTAGAATGGTATTACTTTAGAAAATTTATTTTTAATTATTTAGAAATATAATTGAGTAAAAAGTTTATTTTTTTTCGACTAGACTTGTAGACAGTGAAATTTGTGACCTTTTGAAGCAACGTTATGAGGATTGTGCCATTTATCAAGGAGTCGTTGATCGAGAAAGATGCCAACCACTTTTAGATGCCTATGAAACTGCTACTGGAGCTTGGTTTTCTAAATGTAAGATTACAATATTTATAATTTATAAAATCTCCTGCTTATTGTTTTATTATATTTGAATTTTTAATATATTTAATTACTTTGAATTATTTGAATTTAATTATTACATATTTTGGACATATTTAATTATTTAACAATTTTAATATATTTAATTACACAGGACCACAAAATTTTTTTCGGGAAAATATACATTGATGGCACCATGTGTTCTATACGTATTTTGACGCGCTGAATCCAAATCTGGGTCTACTTTTGCCCCAACACGTCACAGTTTCGAGATAAATAAAAATTTCTCCAAAAAATAGATGAAAAATAAAAAAATATATTTTCAAATTTTTATAGGGATACAAGTTTTTCTCATAATTTTCTTCATATTTGTCAGAAATTTTATGTTTATTTCTAAGAATTAACTTTTCATTGCTCTCTAAATATGTATTTAATGTTACAAATAGTGCAAGTAAATAAGTAAAATATATTCAATATATTAATGACTTACTTCACAGGTTTTGAATACTACGAGATCTGATATTACTATCAATTCTAATTAAAGTTAAACATTTTGTTCATAGATACAAAAATCTCAAGTATATTTAATTACATAGTAACTTTATATAAATCGAAGTAACCATCTACTTAACGATTTTTTCCATTAATTTATTTAGTAATTTCTAGATTTTATACACATTTACAGGTGTCAATTCTTACAAAAAAATGAAATTTTCAACAGATGCAAAGAAAATTTGCAGAAAAATTTGTCTCTTTATAAACGTTCGAAAATAATCGTAAAAATGCCTATTTTTTGGAGAAATTTTAATTTATCTCGAAACTGTGACGTGTTGGGGCAAAAGTAGACCCAGAATTGGATTCAGGGCGTCAAAATACGTATAGAACACATAGTCCCGTCTATGTATATTTACCCGAAGAAAATTTTGTGGTCCTGTGTTATATTTGAATCAAAATTTATAATTTAATTTGTAAAATCTCTTTTCCTGCTTATTATTTAATTCAGGAATTGAAATTATACAATTTTTTTCTGTTGTTCAGATTTTAATTGGAAATTTTAATATATTTGCATTTTGAATATATATTTAATTATTTTGAATTATTTGAAGATATTAATTTATGAATTAAAATGAAATTTTTTTCTTTTGTTCAGATATTAATTAGAAAATGAATTAAATTCCAGATGGAGATGTTGGTGTAAATCCCAATTCAAGAAATGCATTAATGAAACAGAAACATCGCATGGTTTGGGAACGCAGACACGGTCCAATTGGTAGTAAACCAAGAGAGTCTGGACCATATCCATATCGTTGGTTTGAATTCGATCCGAATTGTAATCGTGGACAGAGAGTTCCCGACAGCATTAAACCTACACCTACAAAAAATGAGAAGTAACATGTTACATACATTATTCACTTAGTATTTATAGGATTATTATTATCAAAAAAAAAATTGTTTGTCTGCAAATAAAGGGCGATTGTTATTTAATGAACTTATCTTTTAATTTCAAATTATACCATTTTTTTGTTTTCTTTTTTCGCCAGCGTGTAAATATTCCTTCTTAGTAGTTGATCACTTTTATATTTATTTTCTCAATTTGAATTGAATTCAATGATTATTTTGATTTTATTAAATAAATTATATTGAAAGTAACAGAATTTCTTATTTTCAAATATCAATTTTTATTTTTGAATAATTCCAGATTCAAAATTAGAAAAAATTCTCTTAGTAACTAATTAAGTAATTTTATTATTATTTATTATATTTTTAAATAAAAATTTTCTCAGGATTTCAATTATGTATTTTTAATACAAATTTTAATTAAATTTCTCTAAAGAATTTAATTATTTTCAAAAATTTTAATAAAATCCTATGCAAGAATTAAATTATTATTTCAGATCTAAAATAATAAAAGTTACAAAAATTAATTTTCTTTCATATTTAATTACTAGTGTTTACTTTTTTTTAAATAATGTTTATTTTTTCAAAAAAGTACAAATTTATTTTTGCAAAATTAAGAACAAAATTTTATTAACACGATATTGTTTTAAATTAGTATACAAATATAACAAAAAATAGTTAAATGTAAATTTCAGGAAAGTATAAATAAAAAAGACACCAGTATTGTTTTGCAAAAAAAGAATGTTTTCATTTTTTTTCTTTTTCAAATTCATTCTCGTTATTTGCTTCACGTTTCATAGTACAATATATAAAAATATCTACAACCTATTGTACGCAAATATCAAATAATTAAATACAGTTTTCTTTAGAATCCTATTGATTCCTTACACTTTACACGATAAATTTTCTTTTTAATTATCTTCAAATATAGGGCGGGTTTTTTTGGGGGGGTGTTATAAAAATAAAATAACGCAGAGTATAATACGAAAGACCGAGATTGATAAATACTTTCATTTAAATATATATATAAATATATCGTTTTCTTTTTACAGTTCTTTTTCCATATAAATTAAATTCAAATCATCTCAGATGTAGATTTGAAAAAAATTGAATAAAAAGTTTCATTTTTTTTTTTAGTGCCAAGAAAAATAAGTGGGTATAGGGGAGAAAGGAGATACTTAAAATTGTCGACAATTAATGGAATGTGTAGACAATAAATAAAAAGAAAAAAAAATTGTATAAAAAGAAACACGGGCACCTTTATATTTGGGCAAAAAAATGATAGTCCTAAAAAAATTAGCGTACTAATACACAGAAGAATTGCGTTGTGAGATGGAATAATTTAATCGTGAAAAATCGCGACTTATGAGACATTTACGTATACTCCGTTAAACTTAAAAAAAACCTATCAAAAAATGAAGAGAGCACAATAAATACGTAATAATAAAGATAATAATATAATAATAAAATAATATTAATAATATACTTAATAACAAAAATGCTATGTATTAAAAAATAAATTAACAAAATTGAATATCTATAAAGGGCAGGGGGTGGGGAATTTTAAACAAAGAAAATTTCTTTGTAACTCGATGATACCGATACGAGATCATCGAACCGGCAAACCATTGTTTCTAATGGCAGAAAGACGAATTTCCGCACTAAATGCCATTTTTAGCTTTGTAATTAGTTGAGAGATTTCGTTTCTTATTTTTTTTTTTTGTTACGTTTTTTTTTATATACAATTATATGCAATGTAGCCATTTTGAAACACGATCATCAAGTTCCTTTTTTTTGTATTTACAATGTCGCATTCACGATTTTGAAACATTAAATATACGACTTCTTTTTGTTTTTACTTAAAAAAAAATTATTCACAAGTACAAATAAAATCATTTGAGATCATTCGGAGATTTCAGACATGTATCTCGTCGCGCAATTATTTTGAGCATATTTATATATATATTATGAAAGCAAACTAATTTCTAGCGCATAAATAGAAATTATTATTTATTTTATCTGCGCAAATTTCGAATCGATAATTTAAAAACGATAAATCTTAATAGAAACGTGATTTATACGCAATTTTCTTTGTCCTTTCTTGCTAAAAAAAACCAGGACTTTTTTTTTATAGAAAAAGAAAACAATTTTTTTTCGAATTATAAATAAAAAATATGGTCCTTATTTATGCCAAATTCTGTATAACACAATAGCTTAAACGTTATAAACATTAAATACGTTTCTCATAGTAAAAACAAATTTTTGCCCGAAAAAAAAAAATTTTCAATCTCAATCTTTCTTTTTTTTCATTTTAAAAATTTTGCCTAGTTTGCTTCTTTTTTTCGAAATTGAAAATAATAATAATAATAGAAAAATTCAAACTTCACGCTTTAGATGAGGAGGAGAGAGAAAGAGAGAGAAAAGTGAGAAAAAAGAGATTTTCCTATCTTAGTCGACACTGATAATACTTATATTAAGTATGCAAAAAAATTGCTTTAAGTCGCGAACAATAATTTCACAGTGAACGCAACTTTTTCGGACCCGATTTTCATAATATAGAAATCTAGATAATCAAAAAAAACGATTCGAATTAATAAATTTCATTTTTCTAAAAAAAAAATCTGTACACTAAAATTTTTTTTTTCCTACTCTTTTGTGTGATCGGTTATTCGAATCTAAAGTTTGTGAATTGGTGATTTTTCTTTTAGATCGATCGTGAATTACTTTGTTTTCATTAAAAAATTGTCATTTGAGACAAATGATAATTGATTATTATGCTCCATATTTTGTTTATCACAGTTTGGACATTGCTGTACAATCCTAAATATGGGAATCATCGAATTCACACGATTTAAAATAATGCCATTTCGAGCATTTCTCATTTTTATAATTCGATGTATTATAATATCAAGATCGTGAAAAAATTTCACTCGTTTTTTTGAAATTTTAATTGACGCTATTTTTAATATTAGCGGGGGCAAAAAATACCTATTTAAATGTTTTAACATTCTTTGTAGGTATTCGATAAACGATCTTTTTATCACGATCTATCGTTGATATTATAATTTAATTTATTTCTACGCGATGATAAAATTCGTGATTGGGACTAGTTTCTTTTTTTTTTTTAAATTGGGCCTCAATTTCATTTTGGTCTTTCGTTTTTTTTTTTTTTTAAAGATTCGTTGCCGAGAACTTGTTTCAGGGATCAATTGGCTGATCGAATTGTGCTGCCAAACGACGTTTTCCAGAAAATGCTATAAAAAACAGAGTATTTTTATTATTTGCACATTTAGGTAAAAATTTATATACTTTCGTCAAGAAATTAAAAAATTTTGAATATTTTTCGTTATTGTATAAAAGTGTATTAATTTTTTTTAAATATTGTTTAATACTTAACTAATTCAATTTTGGATGAAAATAAATACTTTTAAAATTTCAAAACAAAAATTCAGACTTCGCACTCGTTAAGTAATTAAAGTAAATTACTTTACTCAGGGTTTTAATTATGAATTATTCAATTCTAAATTTTTGTAAAATTCAAATAATGTTTCCAAATGTTCAGTTAGAATTCTCAAAAATATAATTATATTTTAAAAGTAATTTTTTACAGTAAAAAATAAATTTTTTAAAATATAAAATTTACTTCAATGAAATTTAACAATATTTACAATTGTTTCAAATTATTTTTGGGAAATTCAGAATTTTTTCTATTTCTTAATTAAATTATTCAAAATTTCAAGAATTCTTGTTAAATAAATAATTAAATATTTATTTTTATTTATTTTTCCAGAGGAATTAAAAATTTAAATAATTTCAATGTAGGTAAAACCTTGTGAAAATTAATTATTTCTTAAAATTGTAACTGCAATTCTTTCAAAATTTAGTTTTTCTTAGAATTTTTGAAATAAAATTATTCAAAACTTTAATATTTTTTTAGAAAAATAATAATTGAAAATCATTGAATTCGTGGAAAAGAATTTTATCAAAAAATTTGAAAATCATTGAATTCTTGCGAAGAATTTTATTAAAATTTTTGAAAATTCTAATTAAATTCGTTTAAAATAATGGAGTTTTTTTAAAAATAATTTTAATTGAATACTTTGAAAATAATTGAATTTTATGAAGAATTTCTTTCAAGTTTTCAAAATAATCGTGTTTGTTATTAATTGAAATTAAACATTTAATTATTGGATTTTAATAAAATTTGTAAAAAAAATATTTAAATTCTTCTTAAAATTTTATTACAATTTTTTCAATAATTTAACACATTCACAGAATTATGTTAAAATATTGAAAATAATTGAATTCATGAGAAAAATTTTATTATTTACAAAAATAATTTAATTCTTGCAAAGAATTTTACTATTTTTAAAAATAATTGAATTGTTTTGAAATTTTTTTTTGATAATTAAAAATAAATAATTCATTAAGTATTTGATTCTTTCTCCACAGATTTTAAGTAATATTAATTGCAAAACTTTTTAAAATTTAATTATTTCAAATAATTACATTTGCAATTCTTCCAAAATCCAATTCTTTTTTCGTATTTTTAAATAAAATTATTCAAAAATTTGATAATTTTTTCAAGAAAATATTTAAATATTATTATTTCTAATTCAAAAAATCTAACTGATAAATAATTTTGCTAAGTATATTTTTTCATAAATAATTTTAAACGTCTAAAATTCGATTTTATTTTGAAGGGAATAAATACTAAATTTTTTTCTATTTCAACTATATTAATGGGTTTAAAGTAGTGTAAATTTTAAAACAAAAGCAGCTTTTGATGGCACAAATATAAATAAAGTATCCAAATAGTAGCAAATCGTAAAAAAAGTACATAATAAATATTAGGTTTTAGAAAATGAGTGCGAAGACTGAAAGTTTAATTCCAAATTTTAATTAACAGGTCTCAAATCGATTGAAACTCGAATTGACAAAAATTGATTAAATTTAAATAACAGAAACTGTTTTAAATTTGAATTTTTCATTTCTAAATTTTATATAAAATCCAAAAAAGCATATTTTATTTAACCAGACCAATATTTTTCAAATTTTAATTTTTGCTGATTTTAAATAAAAAGAATATTTTAAGAAATGAAAAAAGAAAAGAAATCTTCTGTAATTTCAAGTAAAAAAAATAATTTCTAACATTTAGATTAATTAATTGAAGAAATAATTGAAAGTCGCATTTCGTTAAAAAAGGGGAAAAAATCCTTCAATCAAAGTTCAGAATTAATTTATGTACAAATTAATAAAAATTAAAATAATTAAATAAGAACTTACAGCGTTTAGTAGGAGTTGTGTCAACTCTGTCTGCAGTCTCATGTTCAAATAAGCCACCACTCATTGAACTAGTGGGACTCATATTATCTAAATCATCTTTTTTCGTCGTGAGTGAAACAGAAGGACGTGGCAGTGCCGATGGATGAGGAGCAATAATGACATTTTGATTTGTTGAATAAAACGGCGAAATATTTGGATTTAGAGGATTTGCCGAAGCTGATAGTAAATTTTTCGTTGGCGATAAAAGATCAGAAGCCTCGTCATTTCCCGATATTTCATCCCAAGTCGAAAGCGGTATCGAAGGCACCTGCAATTGTAAAAAAAGAAAAGAATATATATTATTTTGAATTTTTGTGAAAAATAATTTTCAATAATAATTAAAACATTTTTTCAATACGCTACCTCAAAGTTTGTAAACTGCTCATTTCGTCTAAATGAGTAATTTGGCGGTGAGGACCAAATGGAAAATTTCCATGATTTGTCCTTATCGTCATCATCATCTTCATGCTAAATTAAAAAAAAGAGAAGATTTATTATATTTAATTACAAAAGACAAAGTATTCAAGATGAACTTAATTTCGATTCTAAATTAAAACAAATTCAATTTAAAATTTTTAAAATTAGTTAAAATAAATTCAATTTGAAATAAAAAGTATAAATTACAATAAATTCAAAATAAAGAAATAAAATAAATATTTAAAAATAATTCAAATTGTTGAAATTGATTAATTGATGAAGTGTTTCTTTTATTACGATAATTTGGAATTAAAGAAGAAATTTCAACTAACGAGTTCGATATTCTCAGGTTCAGGTGGAGGCGGTGGAAATTCATTACTCAAAACTGGTGTTCGCATGAGACTTTTTAAGAATGTGTCGCCGCGACTTTGCATTGATGGCCATTGATGATTGAGATTGTCATTCAATGACATTGCCGACCAGGGTGATGTGTTTTTCTTTGGCCAATTCGTAACGTCACTCTTTTGCTTCCATGAACTGTTGCCACTTTCACATGTCCAGTTTGATTGCTCCTCGTGTTTACTCGAAGCACTCGAAACATTCAGACGTGTCGATGAATCCATTTCAAATGAATCAATTCCCGATTCTGATTCTTGATTCGATGTTGAAAATGTCGACGGTAGTGGAAAACCGACAGCTACAAAGAAAAGAAAATGTTGAAATGAACGATCACTCCGAGTCTTCGACTCGGATTTAATTATTTACAAGTTCAAAATGTTTACTTTTAGTTTCAAGAGATATTTTTTTAGGAACTCAAAAATCTCAAGAAGAGGGAAAATACTTACAGGCAAGTTTCTTATTGAGATGAACGATCTTCTTTTTATTTCGATTTTCCTTCAGAATCACCGTACAAGACAGAGATTGAAGGAGAGCCGTTAGAGTTGGATATCCAAATTGTGCAGCTCTGCAAGCCGAGCCTATTGTGTTCAAGTAAGCGCTTTCGAATTGTGTTATGCCCAAAGAGCCACCGTAATTCATTAAAACACGATAGACATTGCAGGCGAAACATTGTATCGATGTGAGTTCAATATGCTGATTATCATTCAAATTGATAAACTGTAAGAAGAAAAAGTCGGAAAATTGCATTAATTTAGAAAAGTTATAGAAATTTTTTTTCTTTAACTAGACGAATTCACTATAAATATTCAAAAGTTCGAATTTGAAAAATTATTTCATACTTGAACAACGTTGGTGAGTTCTTTCTTTATTTCCTCCAAATCGCAATTACGATGATAAAATTGCGAATACAGCAATTGAAACTTTTTCACCGGCATGGAATAATTTATTTGATCAATCAGTACTCGACGACACTGCAATGCCAATTGTTGTAAATGCGATTTATTCAGTGAAATAACGACGGCTCCTGTTTCCGTATGAATAACCTGCAAAAAAAATATGTTTTAGAAATGCAAAAAGGTACAAATTAAATAAAGAAATACAGACAAGTAAAAAATAAATAAAGAAATACAGAAAAGTAAAAAATAAATAAATACATAAAAAGTAAAAATAAACTAAAGAAAAAATACAAAGAAAAAAAATTGAATTTTAATTAATTTTACAATTGACAATTTACCTGTACGGTGTTATCAATTTTCTCCATGAGTTGCAAGATGGAATTGCAGTTGAATAATTCGGGACGTAGAGCATAGCCGTAAAGTTGAAGGAATGCTTGTGGAACATTGGAAACATTGAGACTTCCATTGGAGTGAGCAATTAATTTGGAAATTTGCTCATCGAGAACAAGAAGACTTTCCTTTTCCGTTAATGATATTCGTCGTTCGCCACCGCTTACGTCTTCGATGTTAACAACGTCGGGTATCGATTCAAAAAGTTCAATTAACTTTGTGAAACCATAATCAGACACACGACACTGATGACCAAAGTGATGATGATACGATGGCACGAATTTATTGAACAGCATTCGACATTGAGGTGCATGACGTAAGAGCTCAACAACCTGAGAGAACATTTACAAAAAGTTTTTTAATTTAAAACATTTGGTTTTGGGAGAAATAAAAAAAATATACAGAAAAGTTTTAATGAAAAGGAAAATAAAAATCTGGAAAATTATTTTTTGAGAAAAATAGAATAAAGTAAGAATAAAAAGTGAAAATAGTTTCCTTTTTACCTCGACAGCGAATTGCTTTGTTCGTTCAATTTCCTCAGGTGTTTGTTCTCGTTTAGGAATAGCGATCAGTTGATCGTCTTCGTTGAAATTCGTGACGACGACTGTATTTTCGGAAACTTCTCCAAGAATATCTTCAATGTCACATACGCCATAATCCACAACATCCCATGGTTTGCCTGTGAAAATAAAATCATATATTTCAATTATTATTCATAATGATAAACATTGTTTTCTTATTAATTTCCATTTAATTTTAACTAAGGAAATAAAATTTTACGTCTAAAAAATGAATTTAAAAAATTTTAAATAACAAAGTTAGTAATTCTTTTTAATTACAAACCTAAGACCCTGGCGTAAACACTTGGAAATTCAGAGAGAGTCACTTGTTTGCTGGCTTGAGCTTTAAGGACCCGCAGCAAATCGGAAGTGAAACGACGAACTTGAGCTCTGTGTGAAAGAGTCACAACGCGCTTGTTTCCTTCTCCCATCACCTGAAAATTTACAAAAATATTCAAAATATAATATTTTATTTTCCTACTTTATTTATCAAAAAGAGTTTAAAATTCCGTCAGCAAAATAATTTTGAAAAAATATATAATAGTATTTGATATCCCCTTGAAAAAAGTTTTTAAAACTTAAAAACAAGAAGGAAAATAAAATTCGGACAAAGATTTTATTTAAAATAATTTACCTGAACTGTGTGTGTCAGACCTTCCAACAATTCAATTAATTTCGTAAATCCATAATCCGCGACTCGGCATTGTCTACCGAAATGATGATGATAAGCTGGAATAAATCTATTGAATGACAATTGACAATGTGGTGCAGTTTTCAGGAGATCTACTAATTCACGACTAAATAGAGCCAATTGATTTGCTAAAGGTGGACTGACGCACTTATTTTCTGAAAATAGAACATTCCCTTTCACTAGTTTTAAACTTTGAAAGACATTTGAAATTTAAATTAAAATCTTATATATTACAAGACTAATTCATTTGAAAACTAAATAAAAATTTTAAATATTAGAAGACAAATTTATTTGAAAATTAAATAAAAATTTTAAATATTAGAAGACAAATTAAATTAAAAAATGTATTAGTTTATTTTTCAATTCGAAAAATTATTATTTCCATTTTGAAAAATACCTTCGTGACTTTCATCGTGTGCTCTGTTTCCGGTCCATATCAAGTGCTTGACACTACCAACACCTTGTTTCAATTCGACGGTCGAAAGACAAGACACTAAATGCTCTAAGGGAACTCCGTTCTCATCGACAAGCAATGATTCTTTAAATTCCGCCTCGTAACAAGTGGGAAAGCTAGATTGAAGTTAAAAAATTGTTTTTTGAAAAAAGTATTCCTGATTGAAATCGTATTTAAACTACATTTTATTAATTCACAATTTTTCCCAAATATTTGAATAATTACTCTAAATTTAAATTATAAATAATTGACTAATTACTGAATGTTTTAATTACCTTGGTAATGGTAAACTTCCATTGTGCGTTGACAGCATTTGATTAACACGAATCGAAAGAATTTTCAACGATATTTGCACGTTTGGTAGTGATGCTAATTCTTGTTCAGCCCATCCTTTATCGAAACATGGTTTTTGCGTGTGTAGAGTGCAAAATGGAAATTCCAATAATTGACCATCCTGTGAAGAAGAAGAATTGAAGAAAATTTAAAAACTCATAATTAATTATCAGAGAAAAACTAACAAATGTTTATCGAAATCAGTTGACTTTAATCGCTTATGAGAATGATCAATGTTCTCGAGCACTAAAAGGAACACAAGCTCAACTATTAATGCGAAAACTCAGACTCGGTCTTATGTGTGGTCATCATGTTATTAAAAAACTGACATTAATGATTATTTATTGTGATCGTAATTTATTTAAATTTAGTAGTTTGAAATTTTTCCAAACTATCAAATTTAAGATTTTTTTTTAACTGACTATAAAGTTAATTAAAATTAAATTAAATTTGGTATTTTCAAATCTCTATTTCCATTTGCACACACGGAAAGAAAATAAATATTATATTTTATGAAAGTATTTTACAATTTGCGACAAAGAGAAATTTTTATATGAAAAATACTAAACGTTCAAAAAACTTATGAGAAATTTGGTATTTTTTTATCAAACACCAAGAATATCAATCAAATTTCAATATAACTTTACTAAATTTTATATAATTTCTTTTAAAGTTTTTATTTTATATATCAAAATATCGTTTAGTCGCATTTTCTCCTCAAATTGTAAAATACTTTTAGAAAATTTAATATTTTCTTTTCGCGTATGAAACAAAAATATAAAAGTAATATAGTGAATATAATACAAAATATATAAATATAAATAAATAAAAAAAAGAAAATACATAAATTTCAATATTGAACTTACGGAAGAGGAACTTCCGAAGCAAGGGGATGGCGTGCTTCTATGATCTGGATGCAAAGACACCATTCTACCTCCAGGATCTTCAGTAATGATGCATACGTCCTGTAAATAACAGAATTTTTCCAATAAAAAATTTTTATATTAAAGTTCTTTATTCTGCGATTAAAACAATTCTCTAAAATTGATTTAAGAACATTTACATAATTTTTTTTAGAAACATGGATAATTTATTATAAATAATTTAATTGAATATAAAACAATACACGCTTTTCGGAATTGTTATTTTTACAATTTTAATAATTTGTAATTGTAAAATTATTTGTAAATTAATTAATTGTAAAAATAATAATTAAATAATAATTTACTCATTAATATATTTAATTAGCTCACCTTAAGTTTATAAATTTCCGAAACACTAATTGAAATCATAAAACGACTCTCATACATTTCGCGAAATTTAAAAAGCGGTAGTTTATGTCCAGGCACTTCCTGCAAAAGCATAACGATCTGAGAACGTATAAGTTGAGGATTCGGCCCGCCGGTATGTGAATAAGAAATGAGTATCCGTTTGTAGCCTATTTTACGTCGATGCAATTGCGAAATTGCATATTGTGCCTCATGCAACGAAGGGACTTTAACGCTCGCCGCGAAATTTCCATCCGATTGCATAAATACAGAAACATGAAGCACCTATGAAGAAAAATAATTATTTATTATTATTCATTTTAAATTTTTGAATCTTAAAAAGTAATTTTCTTTAAAAGTAATTTAATAATTGATTGAAAAAATTTATTTTTATTTATCTTTAATAAGCAGAAAATTGAATTACCATAACGTGTTCCATGAAAATAGACGACAGAATACGTTTCATGTCTTTTGGATCGATATTCTGATCGAGATTTGTAACTTGTAATTCAATTGGTGTGAATGTACCATTTGATGAATTCATTCCATTCCGACTGTTGATTGGATTAAAGAAATTCTTGAGGGCAAAAAAAAAGATTTCATGGATTAGAGATGTTTAAAAATGGTGAAAAAATTTTGTACGAATTTAAAAAACTTACCTCAACTTCTTCGTTCTCAGCATCACTGTGATGATAGGGTGACATACGAGTCATTTGTTGACTCATTGAATGAACGGAATTCATATCATACGGTGATGAAGCTCTTGCAGTGCGCAGAGGATTTTGATGCTATTTTAACAAAGAAAAAAATAAATTACTTCTTAATATTTATTTATGGACTGAATTAATTTAAACTCAATGAATTAAAGAAAAATCAAGTCGGCGAGATATAAAATATTTTGAAGAAAATTATATACAGTAAAGTGATACCTGTCCATTCCAGTGGCTCATGTCACGTATTTGCGACTGGGAAAACATTGGTAACGGACTTTGCCTTTTGAATGACTGAGAAAAAGCTGCAAAAAAATACAGAACAAATTAATATTTCTTTTCCTTAAAATTAGAAATTATAAATGATAATTTTTTCTAAAAATTACTGTTATGATTTCCATTGTGAATCGGCGGTGCTGGCCAAGAAGATCTTTGACTAGAGAATTCCGAATGTTGTCCGAAAGAACCGTGTGTTCCTCTAATTCTACGATGTCCATCGTTTGTGCGACTTATTCCCTCGGGAATTATATTATCACCAACTTGTGAAATATGAACTCTTTTACCAACAGTCTTTGATTTATCCTGAAAGGATATAAATTATATTAAATAATTTTTCAAAAATTTACTCACCAAAAGGGTAAAAATTTTAAAATACAATTTAAAAAATTTCAAGACAAAAGAAACAGTGAAAAAGTGAATTTATATAATTAAGTTAATGAATTTAAAAAATTTTAGGACCAAAAGAAACAGTAAATGAATAAAATTTAGAAATTGATGTACTTTATAGTGATCATCCCATAATCTGTTTAGCTGTTGAGATCCAGTCATTTGCCAAACATGGGGTGATTGAACTCTCGAGTGCTCCGAATGCGATCTGTTGCAAGTGCCTTCATTATAAGAAAAGCATTTTCCAATAAAAGAAGACGCTGAATCCACAAAGCTAAAAATATTTGCATAAAAAAAGAGAAAATTTTCTTTTATTAGTATTAATTGAAATAAAATTGTAAAAATTTAAAGAAACGAAAAAAATTCAAGTCAGATAAGATCAAAGCTCCTTAAAATCACGGCCCGAATCTGTAAGGATTTTCATCAACCTACGACTCAAGGGCTCACTCTCGGTAGTCATCATTCTTTTTTTTATTTATAAAATTTTATTTTTTATTTACAAAAATTTTTTTTACTTTTTATTTACAAACAATTTTTTTACTTTTTATTATTATTATTCAGAAACAATTTTTTTACGTTTTATTTACAAAAAGAAGAAAAAAATGTAAAGATAAATAAAAAATGGAGTAAAATGTAAAAAATAAACAAGAATTAACAAAATAAATAAAAAATAAAAGAAAATATATTTTTCAATTTCAAAATTAATTTAAATTCTTTATTATTTACCCGGTTTGAGGATTCACTGAGGAGCAATGTAGTCCATTCCAAGCGGAATAGGATCCAACAATTGGAGAACCCGAATGATAATGGGGAGTGACAGGAAGACTCCTAGCACCCGCTATCGTCGAATTTGCTCCATACATTTGTACTAAAGGTGAATTTACGGCTTCAGATTCACTCAAAGTATGTTCCCTAACACAAGCGTTCTCTAAATAAACAAAAACAAAAATACAAATCAATGAAAAATTTTATTTCAAAAACTATCATTTCAAAACATTTTCTATTTTACTAATTCCTTTTTTCTTTAAACAAAAAAATAACAAACTTTCAAATAAAATATAAATAAAAAACAATTTAACAAAATTATGTGAGAGAAAAAAATAGATTTAAAAATTTAACTGAAAAATATTATCATCATTTATAAACGTAAAATATCTTCAAATTAATCGGAATTTAGAAAAACAAAAATAAGAAGGTCAAACACGCAAGCAAAACAAGACGCAAAGGTATATATATATAAAATAGAAAAACAGTTTTCGATTAATCTGATTTTACTTACCTCGACTGTTATTCTCGGATGATGAATCTTTTTCCTTCAAAAATTTGACAGAAATTTTCGAATCAAACACGTATTCTCCATGCATACGTTTTTGAGCCCTTGAAAAAAGAAAACAATTTAGTTTTTTTAATAACAAAGGGAAAATAAAAAGTAAACTAAGTGATATTAGCACGTGGCTAAGAATTTTCTCCACTATGTAAATCACAATCACATTTTTCTTATCTAATTTCTTTCACTTTTGGTTATTAAATAATTTCACGAAATTGTAAACAAATTCACTAATAATAATAGTAATAATAATCATATGAATAGTAATAATAGGAGTAGTGATAATAGCAGTAGTAATTATAGTAATTATAGTAATTATAATAATAATTATAATAAAAATAATTTTCCCGATTTTGAAAAATCTCTTACCAGATTTTCAAAATTGAGCGTGTGTGATTCGGGGACTATTGTATATATTATAAACTTTGAGTAAATAAATAACAGAATAAATAAATTACAATTGTTAATAAATATTAAACTATTAACTACAAAACTAGTAATAAATTAATGACACAAAACAAAATATATATTAATCTCAACAACTGATTAATTATATTAAATTTATTGAAACACTAAGTCTGCCGGGCGTGCTTCAAAAATGGCCATTACACTACATTGCTAATTTTCGTTTCAAATAAGAGATAATTTATAGACTCATCCCCACCAAAACAGGAAGTTTGGAAAGATTTCAAAATCTTAAACGCTTTTAAAAGTGTTTTCACATTAGAGCGCGATGATTTGAATTATTATTTTCATTTTTTCGGTTAAAAAAAAATTGCAATTATTTTTGTAAACTATCAAATAATTATTATGAAAAATCTATTTTTTAAAACGAATAAATCTTTATTTATATAATTTTCCCAATTCTTTCGATCTTTTAAAAAAGTTGTATATTTAATTTTATTCCTGAAATTTTAATACTTTTAGTTTACTATTTTTTAATTAAAAAAAAAAAACTTTTTTGTTTTTTAAAAAACATTACTATAATTACTAATATTATAAACTCTCAACAAATTTGAAATTTTATAAAATAATATAAAGGTATAAATAATTAAATAAATTTTATCGATTATTGTTAAATAGATAATTAAATATTATTTAAAAAAAATATTAAATGTTACTATAAAAAATGATTAAATATTAAAGAGTGTAATTAAAGTGATTATAACCTATTAATTGAATATTTACCTGTCAGCATACTCTTTGGAAAAAAAGCGCACAATCGCAGCATTTGATTGGACCTCGACAACTCGTCCTCCACAATTGTTAGACAGTCTCTTAAGTCGACGTTTAATTCCCGTAACGTCTTTATCCTCTGGAAGATTACTAATGAGAAGGTCAAACGATTCACTAACCTACAATCGAATTCATTACAAAAATTAGTAATTATTGGAGTAAATAAATTAAAATAACATATTTTTGATTTATTGACTATAAAATATGCCAATTTCAAATGAAATATTTCATTTTTTCAGTTTATTTAAATGTTAATTAAGATAGAATTTATTTCTTGATTAAAATTTTGTTTTACCTATAAATTATTTATTACTTTCAAACATTTTCATAAAATTTCACGAACGGATTCAATTATTTTTTTTTTTATTTTTTAATAAAATTTTTCGAAAGAATTCAATTTCTAAAATTTTAATAATTTCTTCGAAACAATTCAATTATTTTTTATAAATATAGTAAAATTCTTCGCAAGAGTTAAATTATTTTTAATAATTAATAAAAATCTTTTCAAGAATTCAATTATTTTCAATAGGCAATTATCGATATTTTCAACTTTATTATTTTCAATACAATTTTAATAAAAATCAAGAATCTAATTTAAAAAAAAAAACAAAAATTTAATTTGTTTGTCTTTGTTTCTTTTAATAAAATTCCTTGAGCGAATTCAATTATTTTAAAAAATAGCAATAAAATTATGAGAAAAATTTAAAAAAATGCAATAATCAAATCTTTAATTTGAATTATTAATAAACACGATTATTTAAAAAAAAACTTGAAAGAAATTCTTTATAAAATTCAATTATTTAAAATTTTCAATTAAAATTATTAAAGAAACTCAATTTTTTCAAAAGAATTCAAAGAAATTGTAATAAATTCTTCTCAAGAATTCAATTATTTTCCAATTTTTTGATAAAATTCTTTTCACGAATTCAATGATTTACATTGATTATAAAATTGAAAACATTTAAAAGGAGAATTATTCAAAAAGTTAGGAAACAAAATGCAATAATAGTAATTATTATTATTTATATTATTATTTAACCAAAATTTCACTAAATATTATTTTTTAAATACTTGATTTTCATTAAAACCGTTTTTTTTTTAATTATTTTATTATTCTATAAAGAAATAAATTTCACTAAATATTATTTTTTAAACATTTGCTCAGTTTTTAATTATTTTGCGATAAAAAAGTCCGAAATTGGGTTTTATATTCACTATTGATATTATTTATTTCTAAGGCTTGCTTCTTTGCTTTTTGTTAAAACCGTTTTTAATTAAAATTAAAAAATATTTAAAAAAATTTTAATTCATGTCATTAATTGAGAAATTAGTATAGTTTCTGTTAATTAACAAATGAATAAGATGTAAAATTTCAAACTGAAAGAGAAATTGGTATTTTTGTTCAAATTAACGATTGATAAAGTGATGCAAAACTATCGATATTATTGATAATTAAATGTAAAATAATGTTTAAATAAATGGTTTACCTTGATTGGAGTTCTAGAGGGCAGTGGTTCCATAAGTTCAGTAAAATCATAGTGCTCATTTGCACATAAAATTAGTGCCTCCGATGTGTTTTCCTTATGAAGAAGAATAACGTGAATTTTTTTCCTATGCCTCAAATCACTCAGGTCGGCAGCAAAATTAATATCGCCCGATATTAAAATAATTGCCGCTGGACTGCCGTGAATATCTGCGAACCTTCTGATTGATTGTCTCAATTTTTCATCGGCAGCATTTTTACACGTCGCTGCCACGTGTATTAAATTTACCTGCAATTCAATAATTTCCCATTTAAAAATTAATTTCCACAATTATAAGGGTTTTATATTATCCACAATATAAATTTTTTTCTATTTTAAAATTTTTTCTATATTTTATACAATTTTTTTTCTAAATTTTACTCGTTTTTGTATAAATAATTACATTTTGTATTAAAAGAGAAAAAGTGCACTAACCTGAGCGTCATTTAATTCTTGTATAATTTGTTTATTCTCTTTTTGTACATCACAGACTACTATAAATTCTGCCTCTTTATAACCGTTAAAAAATTTATCTCTTATTTTTTGAGTAACTGCTATGGCGGATCGTCCTTTAGGGACCTAGAAATAATTAAATAAATTAAAAATTAAGTACGAAAGAAAAAGTGTGAAAAGAAGAAAAAAAGAATGAAAAGTAAGAAAATATAAGTAAATTACTATAATTTTACAAATAAAAGTATTTTTAAAAATCTGGAGATAAAAATCCCGGAGACAAATAAATTAAATAGTTAAAAAAAATATTGAGTAAACTATCATAATTTTACTTGGAAAAATAGACAATTTAAAAATAATTTCATTAAATATTGTTGATGTAGAAAAAAAATACACACCTGACAGTTTTCAATGTCCCAGAAGACGCCGATAGGCGGTAAAAAGTTTGGTAAATGTTTCGAGGTAATTGGACTACCATGATGAATGTATGAGTAATCATATGGATGCCGTCTTTGATCCAATGAACCAGGTAAACTCGCCGAATCCAAAAGTGATTCGGTATCGTTATCAGAATTAGTACCAGACAATGAATGCGTTTTCTGATAGTCAATTGGAATTGATTGCGATGGGGTTTTTAGCGTTGAAAGTAATTTAATTAATTTATAATTCAGCTCTTCTTCAGCCTCAACATCACAGTCAGCACCTGATGAAAAGTGCTTTGGAAGGTACGTGTCCGCCATGTGATACGAAAAAAGTCCTACACTTCATACCAGCAATTAACCTTTGATAAACAAAAATTTTATACATTTAATCTTATCTTTGCAATTGACATTCAAATATCACATATTGAAGAAGATAACCGTATTTTAATTATCGACGCAGCTAATTATTACACTTCACTAAAAAGTTCTATTCAAAAATATACACAGTAATATTGAGAATTTCGTAAAATATTGACATTTCAAATATTTTTCAACAAGAAACACACGTATTATTTTTATTTATCAAAGAAAAAACAGTAAACTAAGAATGTTTTGTTTGACTTTTAAAAAAATATTGATAGACACAAAATTATAAAAGTTTCTAAATAAAAATTGTTTTATCAAAATTATTTGCTTACCTTGGAAAAATAATTATTAACGGTTTTTGAATAACCATATAAGATTTTCGTAAAATCTTGCATAAACGACGAGCGAGAAAACAATTATTAAAAATCCTAAAATTTGAGGTTATGATTCGAGTCACTGAATTCGGAGTAACCAATATACTCGATCGTCGAATAATAAAAATTTTCTAGTAAATAAAAATAAATGTGTATCCTTAATCACCACATTAATACATTGTACAACCGATCATTCAAAAAATAACAATAAAAGGAAGTATATGTCAAAGTATACATTGCTCTCGTGGGCCACCACAAAGAAATCTGAATTTTGCGTTTTAAGGTCGAAATTACGGCTGCTGAGTGTTTTTGCGTGTGCACGGGGGGACAAGTTGTTTAATATTTGTTGTTGGCTAATTTGTATACAATGCTCAAATCAAAATTGTTAGAAACCAGCTTATTTATAATCGTTGCATTTTGCTTAGGTTTCAAAATTTTTAAACTAGTTTTGAATTAATAAATTCGAGTGTTTTTTGGAATTTTAATTGCTTTTGATTTTAGAATTTTTAGATGGTTTTAACTGATATTTAATTAATAATTTTTATTTTATTTTGTGTACTTTATTTTTTCACCAATTAAATGACGACAGGGTTGGATCGTTAATTTTACACTAATACGTAAAGTTACACAGGATTGGAAGGTTGAAATGTAATTTTGTCCACATTTCGCGCCTGGGCCAATGAAAATCAGTAGCTTGATTTGTCCAAGAATGTTATTGGCTGAGGGGAAAAATGGTTGATAACACTGTTTTCTGTTTTATCGACCTAAGAAGTGTGATGGAGGCTTGATGGCCAAAAGCAAACTTGAACTTTTCTCGACAACCTGATGACGAGAACAATACCTCCGCGAATATTATGTTTGCCGTCGATTGGAAAGACACAATTTTGAGGAAGGCACCCCACGTTGAGACGCCCGATTTGTCCTTTGTGGTCCATTTGCCTTCGATTCTCTGAAAATTTGGCGACTTAGAATGAAATATCCAAGTGTCTCCAACCTAACCTCTCTAGTCCTCGCCGAACAACCGCTCCGAAATTTTAATTAAACATCTGCAAGAGGAAGATTTGTAACTTCATCAAGAGAGTGGGGACAGTGACACCGTTTTTCCCGAAAAGTAATGCTTTATAAGGTGAATAATTACAATAATCCACAGTATATTTCTTATATTTATAAGTTAGGAAAACGTTTCCAGTTAAAATAATACATTTGATGAATAACAAAACTCGCTTTTGTGGCGATTATAAACTTTAGTCCCTTTAGTCATATAGTCATTTTTAATAATTTTGTTATAAAACGGGGTATATAACGAAGTTTCCCCTAAAATTGATTGCTTCTTGAAGGAGAGTAAGTCTTTGTTGACCGCATGAAACATCGTGATGATGACAATGCTCCTCGAAGCGGCTTTGCATGAGTTCCTGTTGAAAAAATTCCTCACGGGCGAAAGTCAAGGTACTAACGCAAAACAAAGACCACTATAGTGGCATGTAGAATGACCAACAATTGATTTCTGAACTCCTGATAATAGGAGGGGCTCGCTCGAAACAACCGCGCGCGAAACGTAAACCCATTGGGTGGAAATGAACTCTTCCCAAGTGCACATGCACTCCTGGTATTTCAGAGCTCGCTTGCACCTAACAACGTGGGAGAAATCACTTTGCTATCTTGTATTATTCATTGACAACAATGCAGTGGATTTCATTTGAAATTTTCAAATACTGTTTGTCGGAATTTCTACATTTTACTTTAGTTATTTTTTCCCAGTGAATTTCACAAAAGTAGAAAGAAAAATATGTTTTTCACCAAAAATTTGTTTACAAAATTTTCTTTTTTTAAATTATTAATCAAGAAAGGGTGTAAAATATTTTTGAACAAAAATTTATAATAACATTTTTAACTGGAAAAATATTCTTTCTTCTAAATTGTTGATTATAAACATTGAGAACTTGTTTTTTTAATTTCTTTTATGATTTCATCACTGGGTTATCTGTAAATTATTAGCTTTTGAATTTATTCAAAAATTTCCACTAATACTTTAAATTCGCTAATACTAAAAATCAAAAAACTATTCTCAAAAATTATAATGAAATTCTTTAAAAAGATTCAATTATTTTGAATATCTAGTATTTTCATAAAATTTTGCGCAAAAGAATTCAATTATTTTCATAAATAATAACATTTCCACAGAAATTCAATTATTTAACAAAATTTTTAGACAATTCTTCACAATAATTCAATTGCTTTCACTAATAATATTTTTCATGGAAATTCAATTTTTTAAACAAATTTTTGATAAAATTCTATAAACAAGAATTCAATTATTTTCATAAATAGTAAAATATTATAATAATATTTCAAAAATAAATAAATATCATTTAGAACTTTAGGGACATTTTAATTTACAAATTTACTGAAAAACAATAAAACAAAAATAAGACAAAAAAAACACGAAGTTTCAAATAATAACTAGGAGATATAATTTAATAAATTAAAATACTATTTGTATTGAAGGTTGTCGGAATTATTTAAATGCATCTTTTTTTTAATATTAGTGTAATAATTGTATTTATACAAATCAAAAAATTGAACACGGCAGTTTAGTCTATAAATGGTTCAATATTTTTATGTGTAATGGAATCGATTCATATGAAAGTTTGACTGATTATTAATTCAGTCATGTAGTAACAGTTTATCTTATTTTTTTTGTTTTTTTGTGTGTTTTTTTTTGCAGAGAAAAAATTAAACAAATCCTAGGTCCTTTTGCCCAGAGCTTTTTGTGTGAGTTCCGTTTTTTGTTTTGCTGCCAATTCTTTCTGTTTCTTCTCGTCGTCACGTCGTTTCGCAGCTTCCTCTCTCTGTTGCTTTATTATCGCTAATCGAGCTAAATCTGCACGCGCCTCATCGGTTTTACCAGCTGCATGCAATTTTTGATAATTTGCATGGGCTCTTTGTTTTTCTAATTGTTCTCTATAAATTGAAAGGAAAATGAAATGAAATGAAATTGAAATTAAATTGAAATTAAATTTTTACAAAATTAAACAATCGAAAGTATTTAAAGAATTGATTCAATTAAAAGAGTTGTTTGTTTACCTTTCTCGTCTAGAGAGTTCCGGCTTTGACGCTGAAGCTAAAGTTTCATTCAATTGAGATAATTTCTTGGTTTTTTTCTGTAACCTATTGGGATTTTCCACTTGAATTAAATTCTCTACGCCCTTCGCTTTACCCTGAAAATTGATAAAAAAAAAGAAATTAATTGAACGAAGATAAATTAAAATTAATCAGTTTTTTTTAATATAGAAAATAATTTTACCTCTGTTTCCGATTCAGAATCCGATTCACTTTCGCTTTCCGAATCCGAATTGGTGGCTTTCTTTGATTTATCTTTACCGGTAGCCTTTGGATCTTCCTCTTCTTCCTCACTCGACGAGTCGTTTCCTTTATTTTTCTAGAAAAAAACAAATATTTCATAATTGATTCCTTTATCGCACAATATTTCTAAGTAAATTTTAAAATTGACCATGAATATCGAATAGAAATATAAAAAGATTCAAATATCGAAAATAGAATTATAATTTAGATATTACGCGATCAAAATTAATGGGAGCAAAAATTAATTGTGAAAGAAACGACCTTGTAATTTTGCAACAAAAAAAAAATACATATACTCTAAAATGATGTACTACAAGTTAACCTAAAAATACTAACTCTCCATTGTCTTCGTTCTTCGTCCTGACGACGCTGCTCCTCTAATTCCTCGGGATTCGTGAAATGACGATTACGTCCCTTATGATTAACGAATTTTCCTATAAAATAATGACACAATAATAATAAATGCGCATTTAGATAACCCAGCCATTGTGATAACTTTTTTTCTCATGTCAAATTTCATCTTTTTTTTAAAGCAATTTTAATAAATATAGAAATAAAAATTTATTTACCTCGTGGCATTTTGTGTTTTTTAAAGTTTCACTTAATTAAAAACAAAATTTGTATAATTTGAAAAAAATTAGACTTGTTTTAAAATGATGAAACCGAAATAGTAACGTCAGAATTCAACAACGCGGCTGTTAGGTTAAGCAGTCTGATCGTCGGCCATTTTCAATTTACATTTGTCACGTTTACCTGCCTGACTTTTTCAAAAATGGAAACATTTGAATTTAAAAATTTTCTTTAATTAATAATTAATTTTCTATAAAATATTATTTAATTAGTTGAAAGAGATCAAATTAAAAATAAATCAAAATAGATAAAAATAAGTAAAATGTTTAAATCTAGATGATATAATTTTAAAAACATTTTATTTGTCAATTGTTGTAAATATAAGGCACTTGTAAACATTTAAATATTATGCGTTAACGAATAATTTTTTTTTAAAATGCTTATTTAACGATAACATTCCATTTATTTGACTCGGCGAATCGTGCAGCAAAATAAAGTGGCGTTTGTACAATCCAATCGTACGTGACTGCTTTATCGGCATTTTCGATAGTAATTCTTAGAGATTCTTCATCCTTACGAAATGCCGAGAACGAAATTCTTGTGCCGAAACGTATTTTTGGCAATCTCATAAGCTTCTCCTCGCCGTTCATGAAAATTTTACCTTGAGTCGTAATTAATAGACTTCCCTTTCTTTTGAGATCATCCTCATTACCGAGATTATTTGACACTAGCGCAATTCCTTCGTTATAATTTCCTTCTGTTGATGCTTCCAAAAACTGTAATTATAAAAGAAAGAATATTTTTCTTTTCACTAAGAGGAATTATTGTTTTTAAATTTTTTGAAAATTACATTCTTCGGATAATTAAAAATTACAATTAATTTGTTTTTAATTTCTTCATGGAAATCAATAAAAAAAGGTCAAAGCTTGAAATATTTACCTTGAACTCAATTACGTGTTCCGCATCAAATTGAGTGCCCTGTGAGAAAATTGTACTTAATTCGTCATGAATTTTCGCCGCTATTTTTCCCTCGTTCGTAATCATGTAATTTTTATTCGTTACTTCCCAACCTTGAAGAAAAATTAAAATTGAATTAAAGAATTAAAGTTTTTTAAATATAGGTAAAGATATTTTTGATAAGTTGACAAGGTTGAAAAATTTCTACCAAAAAAATTATTAGTTAGAATATTTACTTGGCAGAATTTTATTAGAAAGAATTTTTATGTAGCTGAGTTGAAACTTTTTGAATTTAAATTATTCTGAATTTTTATTTAGCAAAAATTTTACTCAACAAAGTATATTATGTCGCCAAAATTTTTTTTAACAATTTTCATTTATTTTTCTTTTTCATTTTTCGTTCATAAATTTTTTAATTAATTCTATCAATTAATTGATTTTTAATTCATTTTATCAATTAACTAATTTTGTAATTAATTTTATTTCACAATTTAACTAATTTAACTACTTTTGTAATTAATTTTATTTGACAATTTTTTTTCAACAGAAAGATAAACTAATAAGTTAGATATTTAGACATTTTAAGAGTTCTTTCAAAAAACAATTCTTGCAAAAAAAAATCAAGTGAAATGGAAATTATTATATTTAGCCATATGAAAATTTTTTTTCTGATAAAATCATGTCTAATAAGAATTGCAACTAATATTTCTTATAAAATGTACTATAAAATAATTAATAACTTTTCGAAATTGATAAATATAAAATACACTAGTTTAACTCACTGTAAGAGGGTAAAGAAGTCTTAACATTACGAAGAACACTCCAAACGATATAATCGGCTTGTATTCCCACTCTCAAGATAATTGATTCATTAATTGGCAGGTCTTTAACAAAGCACGAATTTTCAGTGCCTTCGTAAACTGTTTCAAAATTATATAAAGTAGAATTAGAAATTTCCGTTGCTTTTTGAACGATAAAATTGTGCTCCTCGCCGGAATATTCTGAATCAACAATATACCACTTAACGTAAAGACTCGCGGGTCTCTCTTCGATTTCTAAAAATTGCACTGGTCCCATTTTCGAAATGCATCCCAATTCTGAAATTCTTGTTAAAATTTTTTCTTTGGCTTCATTTGTAGGATGACAGAATGTTATACAGGGAACTTCCTCCGGCAATGGTACTGCTGGTATTCTAAAAAGAAAAATCATTTTTTAACTTTAATTTTTAGTTTATATTTCAAAATTAGTAAAGAAAATAATTAATACTCGTTAATTTATTTAAAAAAGGAGTAAAAAGTAGATTTAAGACTGAAAAAGAAATAATAAAAAAGTAGTTATTGAAAAATTAAATTTGAAGACTTAAAAAACTTGTTTTCGTCGATGAAATTATTTTCGGGAATTTAATCATATTCAAAAAAATTTAATTAAATATCCTGAAAAAGGGGGAAAAATTTTACCTTCCCAAATTACTGCTCGCTAAAGTGAGTTCCTCAAATTTCTGTCTATTAAATGTATGTGGATAATTGAGCATCGTATGAACTAAATTTATAAGATGTTGAGTACTTCGAATTTGAGCTTTCACTTCCTGTCGACATGCCCTTAATGGTGCTAGACCTTCATTTTTGTGGACTTCAGTTTCTAATCTAATCAGATCACGTTTTCGATTTATTTGTTGACAAACTTCGTTTATTAAAATTTGATAAGCTTCTTCCACCTCTTGTAAAGTTTTCTTAGCACTATTGATAATCTGAAATATGTTGTTAAATTAGAAATTTCCAACAATGAAAATGATGATACAAAAATAAAAAGACAATCATAGGAATGAATCAAAAGATAAACACAAAAATAAATAATAAATAAAAAAAATAAATAAAAATAAATAAGATAAATTAAATGATTTGATAAAATTCAATTTACATAATAAAGAATTTTACTTGATTATCGGCGATGTCAAGTTCCTCTAATTGCTCTTCGAGTTTATTGATATATTCTTTCGCAGATTGTGAAATTCCCTTGATATTTTCCTCAACGTGCTTTGGCAATTTTACATTTTTCAATGAATCGTCAATTATTAAATTGTCCTGAAATTCCGAATTATCCAATGGTGACCATGGTGCACTTATTGCATTCTCACTTTGCTTTTGTTTTAAAATTGCAATTGATAAACGATCCAATAAATTGTCTTCTATCGATTTTCGTATATTTTGATTGTAATTTGAATTTGCGTCTATCTTTGGTATTAGTGGTTCAATATTTTTAGTTATTGTTAATTTTTCGTTAAAATCGCCAACTTTATTTTCTCTCATTTCGTCCATTTTGAAGAATTTTTCTTTTAGATCATTAACGAAGAATAATACTGATAGATTTTTATTATTATGGAAGCTCCTATGTGAAATATATCTGAAATGAAATTTTTTTTTAAAAGGTTGATATATGTAAATTTAAAAATCAGAATTCATTTCACAGCTGATTTTTTAATTATGGAAAAAGAAAATTGTAATTAATTTACTATTTTTGATTCAAGTGCAGATTGATTAAATTTTCCCAAGAATATTTTGCGCAACATTTAAAAGATTCTTTTTTGATTGTAAAATTCGTGAAATCATTGCTAGAAATTTTATTTTCGAATTTTTCACGACGTTGAATTAAATTTTCCCAAGAGTATTTTATGCGACAATCAGTGAAATCGGTTTCAGTTTCTTTATCATTCGATGTTTGTGTACTCTCGCAATATTGAATACGAATTGTATTTCGACAGTTTCGATTTAAATTTTTCTGCGATTTGTAATTTTTTTGAGGAAATAGAATTGAACCGTCATTTGGAGTAGTAAAATTATTTTCAGCACTTAAAGTCTGTGTAGATTTTCCTATTATTTGCCAGGAATATTTTACAGAACATTCGTATTTATTTTTATGTACATCAATATTTGATAGAGAATTATTTGACGTTTGCGTTTGAATTCCAATAATTTCCCAAGAATATACTTTCTTTAAATGATAAATATCTTTTTGCTTTAATTCGATTTCTTTCTTTTGCAATGGGGACAACCAACTATTAATATCGTGCCAAGAATATTTTATTTCATTTTCACTGTTTTTTGTCGACAATTTCTCGTTGAAACTGCTTTGACTTGAAGTATTACTTTTATCATTTGATAAAGTGAATATTTTAATAATTTCATCATCGTTGTTAATTTTTTCATTTTTGTCTCTTTTAACTTTTTCCTTTTTTTCTATTTTACTTTCTTGTATTTTTTTAAAATTTTTCTCAAGTTTATTAACTTGTAATACTTTACTTTCTGATGGTGTTTTCTTTACATTTTGAAAGAATAATTTTTTTTTCTCTTCATTAACACTTCTGCTTTTAGCAATTGTCGCCTAAGAAAATTTACAATTTTGCATAATGCAAATAGAAATATATTTTATATAAAAATCTAAAACAAGGAAGTAAATAAATATCACTTGTTTTTTGTCTCCTTTGTTTCTTGATTTATTTTCATTCGGATTTGGCAAGAAATCTCCAGTTTCGGTTAAAATTGTTGGTAATTTGTTATCATCTTTTTGTACAAGTATTATATCACTTTTTAAGAGATTTTCTTCGATTTCTTTTAAATTTTTCTTGAAAATATTATCTCCGTTTGTGTAAAAATCAGCCATTGTTAATGAATTCTGTTTTATTGTTGGCATTTTAATAAATAATTAATTATATAATTGCTTAAAATTTAAGCTAAAAAAAAGTAAAAAAAATTTTGAAATAGGTTACAAATTGTAAATACGATTTTTTGAATGAAAGTAAGAAGATGAATTAAATCGATAATTGATACATATTGTTATTTCAATATTAAATTCATTTGATAAATAAATACAAAAAATACTTACTTGAAAATGTAATTTTTTCAGTATTTTTAAATATTAATGGGTGTGGCAAGAAAAGAAATGTTAATGATTAGCTAGTTTACCCTCGTCAGACATATTTTTAAATTTTCCTTTATTGCAATTTTTAGTTACTTTTTCATAATTTTAATTTGTAAAAACAGTGCTTACATTATTGATTAGAAATTTATAAACAAAACTTGACAGCACATTTGTAACGCCATATTTACTTACAAAAATATGACATTTTTGTAGATGGCGCTTGTTTTCTCAGTCTGTAACGAGCGACTATTATCTCGCTCGAATCGTGATTCGATATTAATCGAAATGCGATTAAAAGTCGCGGGAAAATATAATATTAATTTTATATTTTAAAAAATAATATCCTGTCCATAGATTGAGAAGAACTTTCTGCGTTCGATTTAGTAAATATGTTCCTAAAATATTGTATTCTTCAAATATCTCTCTATCAATAGCCGAAATATAACAAAAGATGAAATACATATGTTTCGCAGACACAGTGTCTTTGAAAATATCGCTACAAAAAATAGTAAGGTTTAAACACATTTCCAGCAATATGAGTTTGTGTATTGTCACTCTGAAGACAATATACCCTTAAAACTCAAACACAATTGTCAACCATAAACTAAGAGAGATAACCCCAAAGATGTCATAAAAAACTGTCTTTCAATTCTCAAGTAGACCCTCTTTGGAGGTAAAACCATAAAACACATCGGTTGACCAACGTACATTTTATCCTTTTTCTCAGGATAAAATCACGTACTGGAAAAACCCAGTTTTCAATACTTTTTAGAAATGTTAATTATTCCACTACTTTTATAAATAATTGTAATTTGCATATTAGATTATTTCTATCAATCTAACATCTAATCAATTATTATAATATAATTGATAATGAATTAAGACTTGTAAATAAACTACATTCAAGCTTTATAGTTAAACAATTAATTTGTTATAACTATCATGACCATTAACTATGTATAATTCTATATAATATTTACTATATTTGTAACACGTATGTGTCATGTACAGGTGTAAATATAATTATTATAAATATAAATATTATTATTAGAATGTATGCATGTGTATATATATATTGAAATAATTATCATGTGATAATTATTGGAATCATAATGTTATGATGAATGTGTATGTATCAACATCGACAAGTATGACGTATGAGTCGGTATTAGTATTAGTGAAGTGCATAAATGTATCTACTATATAGTGGGGATACTACTATACTATACTATACTACTGTATAGTGGGGGATGCGCGTCATTTAGAACATGCGCATTTCCTCCAACATGGACTAACAGCGGAGAACAAGTCCGCTGGACTGTAACTACAGATTAGATTTAAGTTGACTATTGACTAGAAAGGTTGCTTCTAAGCTTCCTTAGTCATAACTTGTATTCTTGAACTTTTAGTAAATAAATATTTGGGTTTACTCTCAAGAAGACTGATTTCCTTCAATAATTAATTTTATTAATTATTGAATGATTTATTCTACTTGTGAGCTTTTTCCCTCCGTTTTAACGGAATATTCACGTTTATTATTTGAAATTTCCCGGTTCCTATCAAGGATTTAACCAAATTCTGAACTCAACGAATCACCGAGCAGTAATCGCGTTTGCGCGAGTAATTTACATTTGTGCTCGTAACATAAATTGGGGGCTCAACCGGGATTTGGTACGGAAATTCAAAATTTAATGTGATTGCGGAAACTTTAAAATTAAAAGTGCATCTTGAAGTGACATTTTTGAACTCAGTTATTGCGAACAAGTGCTGACAATCTTCTTTTCATTAAAGACCTTTAAAGTGTTTGTTTGCGATAAACTTGTAAACATTTGGAAATTTTATAAATTTAAATTTTCATTTTTGAAATTTATTGTTTTGTTTTCTTTACACAAAAAGGAGAATGACATATAATCAGTGAATTTCTATTTTAATATCTGAATAAAAGTGCTCCTAGATAGACAATTTTATGGTTTATTTTATTTATGAACTATTAATTACACTATTAAATACAGTTAATTGATAAATAAGGTGTAATTATTAAATAGAAAAAACAAATATTTAACCATATCAAATCTTTCACTAAAAAAAAAAATATTGCTGCTGGATTCAACAAAACGATTCTTCAGAAATCCTGAGATTCTTCTTCCTTGGCGGTGATCAATCTACATGTTCCTGACCTGCTTAACCTGTGTTGTGTTGTGCGGGAGTGAATTCTCAAAGAGAAAAAAAGGTCATTTCCGAAAATAAAAATTTTATTAGTGTTGTGCTACAATATTCCTCAACAGTGGAATAAAGGTCTGGAATAAAGGTTTGATTAATTATAAGTTTTACTGTAATGCCTAAATTCGATCACATAATTTATTTCGAATTTTAACTCAATTTATAAATTTTCTTGCTTATTAGAAGTATTAATAATAATAGAATTATCTAATTTAATTGACATTTTTATTGTTAAACAGTATTTTGAATTATTTGAATTTATATTAATCAAATTGATTTTTATAATAATTTTTAAATATTTGTCTAATATTTATCAAATCCAGTTTAATTTTGTCGAATTCATGAATTTTTGAATTTGTATTAATCAAATTGATTTTTAAAAATAATTTAAAAATTTGTCTAATATTTATCAAATTGAGTTTAATTTTGTTGAATTTATAATTTTCAAATTTTTCAAAATGGGAAATAACAAAGGTTGGGAGGAAAGTCCCATAAATCAAAATGTGATCGATGACGGCACGTATGATGCTGAAATTTCAGATAATGATAATGTTGATGAACGTGATTCTATTTTAAGTATCGACAGTATTGGAACTCATAATAACAAAACAAATTCTGTTATGTCAAGGGGTCCTTCTCAATCTAAGGATATTTTTTCAAAGTTTAAAGAGGACGATATTATTGAAATTGCTAATTTCGTCCGCAATTTAGATAAAAGAAACGAAACAAAACCTCGGAATATAGAGTCAAACCTTTGCAATTCAAATTCAACCCAAAGAGTTAATTTCGAGAATCCTTATGATATTAGGGCTCTTAAAGCAATTGCTGAATATATCCCGATTTTTGATGGTTCAAACATTCCTGTGAGCAAATTCATTAGGGAGTGCAAACATGTTGAGGAGAGAACTCCTCCCCATATTCGTTCGATGCTTTTAAAACAAGTTTTAAAGAAAGTTCAGGGCAATGCTCAAGTTTACATTGCTTACATGCAGATAGACACGTTGCACGAATTGTTAGACGCTCTGGAAAGAGCGTTCACAATTTCTGACGATTTGTCTAGCTTGTATGTGGACATCGCTTCCTTGGAACAAGGACAAGAAGAATCGATTCACGTATATTCTTCTAGAGCGCGCCAATTTCTTGCAAAAATGATAGAAATTGCTAAAAAACGAACTCTACCGTCCGGGTTGATGTCAAGAATGCAGGAATATGACCATCATGTCACGTGTTCTTTTATTCGCGGTCTACTTCCTCACTTAGAACTTCGCGTAAAAATGCAAAATCCACTTACTATGCAACAAGCCGTGGAAATGGCACTTGAGGCGGAACATCACGTTGTCCGACTCAAGAAGCGAAGTTTCCAAACTCATACGGGCGCGAATTCGGACAGTGGTGCGACAAATGGTTCCTCCAATCAAGAACCACTCGCTAAAATGCAAAAACAGGTTCTCCAGATTGATAGCGAAAAAGGGGAATCAAAACCTGTTGTTTGTTATACTTGCGACGAGGAGGGACATATTTCGCGCAATTGTCCGAATAAAAATAAAGACAACGATAATAAAGGGCATAATAAAAATAATAATAATAATAATAATAATAATAATAAAAATGGTAAAAATCACAGAGACGGAAATAAACATAAATCGAATAACAACGGTAAAGATAATAGTAATAAACAACGAAATAGCGGAAATAATAGAAACGACAAAAATTCCCAATCTAATAAAAAAGAAAATTGCGAGTATTGCGACAAAACCGGTCATTCTACTGAAAATTGTTTCCGAAAAAAGTTTGACGACCTACAGAAACTCTGTGACACATTAAAAGAACAAAATGAGCAATTTTTAAACTCTCAAAGTGCTCACAGAACCAACCCTCCTGTGAGCACTCCATCCACAAACCCTTGAAACGATCAGTGCTCACTATCGATAAAAATGACCTAAATAACGGACCAACGGTTTCCATTTGTAATAAACAATTTAAAGGTAATAAAATTTCTTTTTTAGTTGACACAGGGAGTGAATTAAATTTGATAAAAAATTCAACTTTCAGGGGAATAAAGAATATAAATAGAAGGGAAACTTTTCAATTAACGGGAATTGGTCAAGGGTCATACGAAACGTTGGGAAGTGTAATTTTAAATATTTTTGATAGATCGAGTAAATTTCACATCGTTCACGACACTTTCCCTATCAAACATGGCGGAATTATTGGAGCCGAGTTTCTTAGAAAAAATTCAGCTTCTTTAAAGTTTGACAATGAGAATATCACTCTGCAACTTCCGACATTAGAGAATAACAAACCTTCTACTTTCATTTTACCAGCGCGAACAAAAAAATTAGTTACTTTAATAACTGCCGATAATAACCTCTCTGAAGGTTATTTACCAAAAATAAATGCTGGACAAGGTATTTTCATCGGTGAAAATCTTGTCAAATCGGCAAACGGCCAAATAAAGGTTTTTGCAATTAACTCCACACTGTGTGACGTTGAATTGTCTATTCCACCTGTCAGAATAGAAGAAGTTGATGTTTTCATTGTTGAACCAAATATCCCAAACAAAAACGAAATTAAAAGTGCTAGGCTTCAAAAATTACTAGAAACTTTTGATTTCGTTGGATTAAATGAGAAAGAAAAGGAAAGTCTTATCGATCCAATTAAGAAATATTCTCATTTATTTTATCTTAAGGGTGACGTTTTGGGAGCAACTAATTTAGTTACTCACAAAATTGTTACTACCGACGACATATCTATATTCCAAAAACAATATAGACATCCCGAAGCATTAAATAAAGAAGTTTTACAACAAACGCGGGAATTATTAGAAAATAATATAATCGAGGATTCCGACTCTCCAAACAATTCACCGGTGTGGATTGTGCCTAAAAAGCCCGGTCCCGATGGTAAAAGACGGTGGCGTATGGTCATCGACTTTCGAAAATTGAATGATAAAACGGTAAAGGATTCTTACCCTCTCCCTAACATAACCTACA